ATAAATATATATATCTGCGAGCACTATATACTACAGTACTATAATACTATGATACCATATTATAGTATATACTATATACATAAGATATAGATAGATTATAGTAATATTATATATACGGATATAGTATAGATAATATGTAATTCTGTTATATATAATCATATATAAGATATAGGATTATGTATAGATAAGGATATATATACGTAATACTATTTATATACACAATAAGTATATGCATATAGATATACATATTATTATATAATATATATGCATATATTGATAATAGTATAATATATCATACTAGTATATACGAACACATATGATATATAATATTATATTTAGTATTAAGTTACACTATACACTATAATATATAATATTATAGTATACCGTATATATATATGTGTATATATATTTTTTATATTAAATGTATTATAATATATATAGAACATATATATATATATATATTATATATGTATGTATATGATATGTATTATGTTATGTATATATATGTATATATAATGATAAATTTTAATATATTATATATTTAATATATACTATGTATATATATGTATTATATATGTATATATATTATATATGTATTGTAAATGTATATGTAGATAATAATATGTAGTATATATATATTGTATATATAATCGTAGTGAATATGTATATAGTATGAAATATATATATATATACGTTGCAGCACATATGAGTTACACTATATGTATAACATATTATACAATAGACGTGTGTCACTATAAAAATAAGACACACATATAATAACACACCACACCACTATGTGTGGGAGAAGCTATTAATAAGTAATAATATAAGATATATTATTTATATGTCATATTAGATATATAGGGTAGTACGATTACACAAACAAAGACACACAACGCACCACACACAACCAAACACACACACACACAACAACAACACAACACAACAACACACACACATATGTATATATGTAATGAATATGTATGTATATATATATAATAAGTATATAGATTATACTATGACCCACCTGATTTTTAATTGTTTTTTATGGAGTGGAAGAAGAGCAAACAGAGAAATAGTTAGAAAAAAAATGAGAGCATATAATCACACAAAATTATAGTTTTCCTGTTATTGATAGATCACATGATCATCAGCAGGACAAGTTTCTCCTTTCATATACCTAAAAGTCTGTTAGATTCTCTCCAACATTTGCAGATTTGTAGGCTGTGTAAGTTTAATAATTTTAAGCAACAAGATTGTGATGAAGAAAAGATGAGAATGATATATTGCAGACAGTTCTGTGAAATATGCCAGTGTAACACTTTGAGCTAGGGTTTGGCTAGCCTTTTTTGGCTCTGAAACCAGACGCAGGTAAGGGATTATCACCCTTTTGGTCCGGCCTGGCTGTCGTGTTTGGTGAACTAGAGAAGCCAAACTTTGAGCATCCTCTACCCAGACTATGCTAATTCCTTTGCAGCAGTGATGATGTGTGGTCAAAGATCAGTTTTAAAGGTGATATGTATTATTATACATGTCTTAACATCCTTATAGAGGTTGGGAAGCCAGTCAACATTCATAGGCCAATTTCCCTATATAGTGAGAATAGGCCTGACTTGTGCCTGGTTCCAGGGTTTGGTACGACTAATGAAACCGCAGCTTTACCATTCTTTCTCGATTTTATTTATTTATTCATTTATTTATTTATTATTTTTATATTATTATTTTTTTATTATTTTTTTTTTTATTCTGTTCAGTTTCTTATCCGATTAACCCTGAAGCATTTACTTTCCCTTGATAAAATGCATGATGTTTTCATCTCTCCATCAGACATACAAAATGAACGGCTCCAGCACACAAACCTTCGCTCAAAGTGGGGCCTTGCTGAGAGACCGCAAGCAGAAGACTTTCAAGATCATTGTCATTGGCGACAGCAGTGTGGGGAAGACCTGTCTCACTTTCAGGTGGCTCTTTGTATTATGTTATTCTGATGTATAAATTTATAAAACCCATATGTAATAAATGAAGGCTGTTTTTTGTTGTTGTTGGTGTTATATGATGCTTCAGTTCTTTTTTGTTATGTAGGTATACAATGTAAGAACTAGAAGTATCTTTGTATATGTGAATAATTTGCCATTGTTCTTGTCAGATTCTGTGGGGGACATTTCCCTGATAGAACGGAAGCAACTATTGGGGTAGATTTCCGCGAAAGAAAATTAAAGATTGATGGAGAGGATATTGTGGTATGATTTTCCACCCTTTTTTCAGTGTGATTTGATTAAATTGATCTGAAATATTGTCATTGGTTTGTATGTAGTATTATTGCATCTCCTGCATGTTGCATTGAGACAATATGAGCCTGTTTACATTTCATCTGTACTTTACATCAGTTTGATGTAATATTTGACAGATAGTAATTCATACTTTCAATATTTTTTTCCCCATAACTCACATCAGTGATTTTAAATGATAGGAGTTTTCAAACACATACCTATCAACCTATTCGAGTATACCCAAAATCATACACGCGGACTAGCATTAGTAGATGTCAAAAAATCAAATGTTTACTCATAGCAAAGGATCAAATTTCCAGCTCCAGCTTTGGGACACTGCTGGCCAGGAGAGATTCCGAAGATCGATGGTTCAGCACTATTACCGTAACGTCCATGCAGTTGTCTTCGTATATGACGTTACCAGAATGGCCTCGTTTATGGTGAGTTTGGTATACCATTTCTCTCTCACTCTCTCTCTCTCTCTCTCTCTCTCTCTCTCTCTCTCTCTCTCTCTCTCTCTCTCTCTCTCTCTCTCTCTCTCTCTCTTTCTCTCTCTTTCTCTCTCTCTCTCTCTCTCTCTCTCTCCTCTCTCTCTCTCTCTCTCTCTTCTCTCTCTCTCTCTCTCTCTCTCTCTCTCTCTCTCTCTCTTCTCTCTCTCTCTTCTCTCTCCTCTCTCTCCTCTCCTCTCTCTCCTCTCCCTCTCCCTCTCCCTCTCCTCTCTCTCTCCCTCTCTCCCTCTCCTCTCCTCTCCTCTCCCTCTCCTCTCCAGTCTCTCTCTCTCTCTCTCTCTCATACATTATGCATGTAGGAAACACTCATAGCTTTTAGCATTTAAGAAAGAGATAAGCGGAAGTGTAACTCCTGCATCCCCATTGCAACCCTTTCCAGTCATTGCCGTCCTGGATTGAAGAATGCAATCACCACAGCCTCAGCTACAACATACCGCGGATTCTGGTCGGCAACAAGTGCGACTGCAAGGACCACCTGGAAGTCCCTACCAATGTGGCACAGAGATTTGCTGATCGCCACAGTATGCCGGTTAGTATCATGATTTGTATGTTCCTTGCATTGAATGGCAGCAGGGATTTCAAGTGTGTTTTTGTTATATCAGTTTTTGATGAGATATTTGATAATATACCTTTCTTTCTTTGCTTATCTTCACCCATATTTTGTCATTTTCATCAGCCAATACATCATCTCTAGCAAAAGATATAAATCACTGAACAAAAGTTAGATTTTGTTTGTTTAGAAATTCCTGTTAGAGAAGTAACTTTCAAAATGGTGACTGGTATAATGTTAACTATACATATATTGAATTCATTGTATAGCACTTTTGTAAATTGTATATGAATGATGATTATGATACAAGTTGTTAACACATCATATTGATTGCGAATTGCACAAAATTGAAGGGTTGTAATTTTTAAAAATTGGAATGAAAAATATAGAGTGAAAGATAAAATTATAAGTAAAGGTAACTGTAAAAAATGATAATGCATTGGAGTGAAAAATAAAACTTATAAGTGAAGCTAATGAAAAAAGAAAAAAATTAACTCACGTGGCACATTAGATGCACAAGGGCTCAAGGTTGTGAAAAACCAACTGAGTGTAAAGGTGATTGAGGGTTGTTTGTAGGCTTGCTTCTACACAACACTTTCATTTATGAGCATTATTTACAATATCAATAATTAGCAGAACTGTGAACTTTCACTGCAAAGGATATGGGATATTGATTGTTTATTCCTTCTAAATGTATATAAACCCATGCGTATTTTATGAGCTATGTGGCTTTATGGGCGACTGTTAGAAGGAAATTTGCAAAGGGTTAAGATTTTGTATTGTTCATATTAAGATGTCATTTTGATAAGTTGTCCGGTTGTACTGGTGGCATCTTTACGTCTCATTTGCGGTTGGATGTCTATTCATTAGTCATGATATAATGTCATAGGTATCAGGTTTGTACTGCCAGTTTATACAACATGATTTATATTTTTTCAGCTCTTTGAAACTTCAGCAAAAAATGACAACGACTGTGATCATGTAGAGGCCATCTTCATGACCCTGGCCCATAAACTGAAAGCCTCCAAACCCATGATGCCCATAGACCCCACACAGTTTCCCCCAGAAGACATACACAGAGCAGAAGTCATGTCCATCGGCAGGGAGAGGAACGGGGTAGAAGTGCAGAACTCCAGCTCCTGCTACTGCTGATACAGAGCTGAACCTGTGTGGTCCAACAAGAGCCTTCCAAGCAAAACTGCCCTGCTTAATTATCTGGTATTATTTATAAACATGTAGAAGCGGCACTAGCAAGGAAGGATTGTCCTCGCAGGGTTTACAGGACAGGCAGGATCCTTTTGCAGGATGGGGACTGTACGAGTATTTTTCTATCCCAGCCTGGCAACTTTTAAATGCCAGTTACTTTTGCTTGCCCTGAATTGTGGGCATTTACACTTTATAATAGGAAGGATAAAGGTTCATCACAGTGTAAAGGATTTTTGATATGCAAGATAGGATAAGAAGCCACTGTTTTAGAAGGATCAAGGAGTCACTCTTCACAGAACAGGCTTTTTGGAGATAGTTTGTAATACATAATAGTTTGAATTACTAGTAGCAGCCAAATACAGCAATGGCTTCCTCAAGGTTACTCCACTGTGGTAGCACCATAAACGTATGATTTGGATAGGTAATGTTATGCAGAGACCCTAGGATGTTTTCAAATTTTTAAACTAAGTTTCCAGAAGCACCAAACTCTCTCTGCATTTCCAATTCAATAAAGTTTGTCGTGCAGTGATAGTGTGAAGATGTAACACGCAACATTGTTAAAGTATCATCTTTTTATTATCTTAAGGTTATCAAGATGTTAGATCTTTCAATGACGGTAATTACATTCCTCTTAAAGCTCCAGACCATGTTATCTTACAAGTTGGTGATATATAGATATTGATTTTTAAAAAATTTAGGTCATTGGTTTCACCATGTCTGTAATTGTCTATATATCAACAAAGGAGAAATTGGGTTTTTCTTTGATTTTAATTAAGATTCTTGTGTCTCAGAAATATGTATAAAGATCATCTCTAAAATTCTAAAAGCATAGTGTTTATGTGAAATACCTTTTGCAGCTACATTGATATGTTTAAGAATTTCCATGGTTTGCAAGTCAAATTCAACTATAACATTTTTATTACTGATCTGAATGTGTCGTATGAGTTATAGGTGTTTTTAATTATTAATTTGTGCAATATGTGATATTAAGGAAATGCAGTAATTCATAGGATACATTGTCTATTATTGTTCAGATTTGTTGGAAATCGTGTTCATCTGATGGCAAAGCTACTGTTTCAGATTTTTCCACACATTATTCCAAATAAGAAAAAAGTAATGCATGTTTCTGGGTTCGTGAATGTGTTGAAGGGCATTGTTTGCTGCTCTTATATTCAAGGAAATTTCATCCAGGTCAAACTATGTGCTTTAATTTAGGGTTTTTTTTTTTTTTTTTTTTTTTTTTTTTTCTGTGTGACAAGTGAGCAGCCATGCCAAACTGAATTTCATCAACTCATAGGAAAACTAACTACCTTCAAAAGATATTTTTGTTGCATGAGTAAATCACAGCAAAAAATTGAGATTAAAAAATTATAATTAAGCATAGTGTGATCTTTTGTATTGGGTGTAAAATCTTTTGTTTGTGTTTACTCCCTAAGGAATAGAAGAGTGTGAAAATGTTGTGACAAGAATTTTGGAAAAGTACGTTCTTAATGAATACCAGGTGTTTTAGACAGTTACTGCTATTTTGAATGAAAAACTACCATTTAGTGATATTTGTTGATCCTGCATATCTCCTATAACCTTGTTAGTGGGTATGTACATGAGTTTATTTTTATACTTATTTATTTTTTCACCTTTTTTTTTAAATGTCTGATATGGTCTGGTTGAAATGTTCTTCAAAGAAAGTTACATATTAAGTTCAAGAAATAAAGGAAGTTCCGAGTCATAAGGGTATGTAGTTCTGAAAATGCTTCAAGAAATAAAGGAAGTTCCGAGTCATTTCTTGGGGTATGTAGTTCTTCTGAAAATGCTCATGTTTTGATATTCCAGGACTTATGTAATTTTGTCTCTCAAAAGACGATGGTAATGTGATTTTTCATATTAGACTAAGTGTTTGTGTTCCCTTCGTCAATCCACTATCATCAGGATTGCATTTTTACTGTGAACCGTGTCTGGGTGTTCTTCACAATGCATATCTCTTGTACAACAAACTGGAGCAATTTTGCATGGCACTGAAACTTTTGTAATGAGTTAATGTTAATACATGTTGTGTTCTTATGCTACAGTGAGACTAGTTGGCGAGTCACTATGATAGTGGTTGCAGTGCCACAGAGCAGCTCTTGCTCTTAAGGCAAGAAATGGGTTAGGCTCCCCTCTGCATCCTCTTTGGAAGGGGATTGCCATGTATGAAAGGAAGAGTATACTGTAAATAGGCAAAGACATTAATATTATTATTCAAATTTTCATAATATTGTCACATTAGTTGTTATGTAATCATTTGTAGTTCTTGGAGTCTTCAGGTTTCATGTATTTATTTCATTTCTAATAGCTATTTTTATATAAGAGTACGCTGCGAATATGTCTCTGCAGCGAGTCCCATTGTTGTATCACTCTGGCTAGGAGGTTTTAAGACTGTCATAATATTTTGCATCTTTTTGTATGCAAAGTGTGTTGAACAAGCTGTCGTCCTTTCTTCTCACCTCTGGCACAATGCTGAACTCATCTTCAGCAAAGATATGGTCATTGTAGTTCTGTAGAGATGTTCTGTGGGCCAATCCTGGGGCATATATCTGGGATAATTAAGATGATTTTGTTTGTGCTTTTGATATGATCACGAAAGGATCTTGAAAGTAAATTGGAGTCAGGATATAGTATTGATTGAAGGATTGTGTTTTTCCTTAATCTATTTCACATATATCAGTGTCTTCCAGTCTTTTGACAACACAGTGGCATTCATTGAAATCATTAAAAATATATATCATAATTTATTATAAGATTATGTAGCATCTTAATCATTTGAATAATTCATAGGTGTGTCAGTATTACTTTGCCTTCTTTGCTGCTGAGAAATGATATACAGGGCAAGACCTCAGTTTGATAGCCAGGGGCTCTCCCACACCAAACGAAGAGCTTTACAAGCGTTAACTCCTTGGATCTGAGTGCTTTATTGCCTACATGTGACCCCAAAATCCAGGCATTAGACTTACTTGAGTGGCCACTTAAGTTTCCTACTAGCTTGCAAGCCAGGTGCACACGAACACTCATGGGCGATGTCAAAACTTCTTGCCTCCCCTTTGCAATGTTATCTCTTTTTCTTTATAAGCATTTTTAGCTTTTTGGTCATTTTCTAATGACTGCATTTGTCATTTTATATTCTGTATCCAGATGGTAACAGATTTCTTACCTTGCACAGACTCCATTTCATCTCTCTAGGTAGTCCGTAACTCGGTGCAGAAATAATAACAGTAAGTAATATTTTGTTGTTTGTGTCATTTTATCATTTTTCTTATAATATCAAGTTTTCTGTAACACAACCTGTAAGAAGGAATAGGATCCTGAGCACGGAAATAGCATCCTCTCTGGAGCTGACACTTCCAGTCATGGCTCATGGATGGTACATTCCAGACTTGTTTATTGATGGAAATAATATAAGAGCCCCTTCCTAAATGCCCACCGAGTCTAATCACTCTCCAAGAGCATTGTCCACCCGGGTTGAGTAATTTCTGTTATCCTAGCCTTCAGCCAAAATTCTCATGACATGAAGTTCCTTCACCCTGGCATCAAAGGTATCCACATCCAGCTTAAAATTCTTGCATGTCCAAAGAAAGTGTACAGTAAATATGGCCTGATTATTACTCTGTCTTAGAATCTCCCAGAGTTAGAGACAAGTAGCAGTAAGTCAAGAGATTATTTGAGATCATAGATGGCAGGACACCCCTCCTAGGGTAGCTCCTGATGTGAACTGTGCATGTAGATGGTTCAGTATATGGAATATGGTTAGTGCTGGTAGTCCCTGGACATGTAGACATAGCAGCAACTGTTAGAGGGCTGGTGAATGATAAAGGTGTTCGTTATGAATGCATGGAAGTTTCTGATAGCAAAGGTTAGTGGTATGACCATGTGATCTATAAGCAATTTGAATGCTTAGAATTTTAAAAAGACCTTTATTATCGTTAGACAAATGTAAACTACAGTGAATTAATAGGATTTACTAAGACATATGTTAAGTGTGATTGATAATGGAAGCACAAAGAAAGATATGTTTAGAAGTTGGTATGCTAAACTTTGTTCTGTTTTATTAAATGAAATTTCTTCAGTAATTTTCAAAAAGTTGAATTGAAAATCTTGAAGTCTTCTGAATAACTTTGAGGCATGCATTGTCTTCACTACTGGCAATAAGACATATATAACTCCATCAAGGAGTTTGTCCAGCTTTCCAGGACTGAATTCATTTTTATAAAAAGTTGCTGAAAGTTCATATCTTAATATGCTGTACTATCTCTGGAATCCACTACAAAAATATAACCTACCTTTGTAAACTAAACTTACTTGTAAGATTTAATATGTGAATGGTAAAGCGGAACTGTGAGCTTTTGATTGTCCATTTATATTTACCTTCATAGTATTCATGACATACCTACAATAACATTGCCTGAGTTTACTAGAATTTTTATTTTTTTAGCTGCATCGCAGTAAAGGATATTGCATGTGTAATTAATTTTCTGTTTTCATTGTACTTACAAGAAGCTAGTCAGTTTACTGGAAAGTTGATAAAAGGTTTGTGGTCAGTATATATAAATATAAATGTGAAATATTGGTTGGTTGGAGAACTAAACACAACTGATATTTGGCATTGGATTTGTAAAATCAGTGTACAAATCTAATGCACTTTTTAACATTATGTTCCCCTTTAAGCGATACATTTTTCCCTGCAATTCTTTTCATAATGGATTTCAGAAATGTAAGGATATATGTGTAATACACTTGAATTCCACTCCCTTTTGTTCTTATATAACATTCTAGAGAAGATTTAAGTTTTTAGTTCTCCTGCAGATACCATGTTAAGGATAAGGCAACACTTTTCTTGCTGGTAGATATCATGCAGATTTTAGTTGACAGGAGTTACCGTGTGAAGACATAATTTCAAGATTCATATGTTTATGACTTAAGAGTCTTTGGTGCATACATATTTTTATTAGACTGTTCCTTAGTATAGTTCAGTTTTTTTTTTTTTTTTTTTTTTTTTTTTTTTTTTTTTTTTTTTTAAGTGGCATGTAAACTGTCACACACTGTCATGATCCATATTAGCAAAAGACATTCTGACTCCTCTGAATGCATGGTCATCTAAATACTGAATGACTACAGTGTGAAATATATGTGCATGTGTGTGTGCGTGAGAATTTTAATCTTATTTTTCTTGCTAGTCTTTCGTATTATGCATAATTATGAGTTTTTTCTTGTAAAACATTGACAAGGATTGTGTTTTTCTGCAATACACATTTTGAAATTACTCTACAGGATTTTTAATGGACTTTCTAGTTTTGGTTTTAGAATAGGTGTGCTTGGTCAGAATCTATGCAGAAAAGGCATACTGAATGCTTTGTAATGTTTGCCTCTGGGGTTTGGAAGACTTGGTGCGTGTGTAGCCTTTATTCTTACGTTTGGAATAATGTCGACTAATAAAACTGGGATTAAATTTTGAGAGCTTGTGGCATCACCAGTGCCAGGGCTGACAATCGTGGAGGATGTAATTAACGAGAATGAGAGAATGTGTCGCCTCGAGCTGGGAAATAATTGTTCGGAAGTCATTTTTTTGCTCCAGATGAGTCTTAATGGATATATATATTTTTCAACTTAGAGATAGAGATATGTTTATGTATTGTTAAGTAACTATTGTATACGTTCATGGCAAGAAATGTTGTGTAATGATTCCTCTAATGTAACTGATCTTCCTGCATGTCAACCCACTTTTAATTGATTATGCAACTTCTGTCATTGGCATTATTGATTTTTATTTTTATTTCATATTCTGAAGTATTGTTCTTCACTTATTTCTCCTCCTCTTCCTCATCTCTCTCTTTTATTTTTTCTCTCTTCTGTTCTCTTCTGCTCTCTCTCTCTCTCTCTCTCTCTCTCTCTCTCTCTCTCTCTCTCTCTCTCTCTCTCTCTCTCTCTCTCTCTCTCTCTCTCTCTCTCTCTCTCTCTCTCTCTCTCTCTTTTCCCTCCATTTTGCCTATGCATTGCTTATATCCAATTTAAGAAAAAATGTGTAAATATTCTAGAGATTACTCTGAAACATCTGATATAATTGAATTTCTCGTACAGTGTATGTTTGGTATAAACGAATATGATAATTTCTTTATACACATTTTCATTACCTTCATTTCTTGTTTGATATGCAAAAAAAATGTGTTTGTGATAATCAACTGTATCTTTATTATTGATTTTTATGTAATAAATTGTAATTCTTGTTAACAGATGTTTTTGTCGAAGGTGACGAGTAGGCATTTGACCTTCAGGGAAAATGTTACCAAAGAGAAAGGGTTAAGGAAAGCCTAGATTTTATATTGTATAGTATATGCAGCAGGATTTGAAGGACAGGCATTCATTTAGTAAAGGATTAAATTCTTCTGATCTTTGATATCCTGTTGTTCAAGATTTGGCGTATAATATTCAGTATCAAATTGTTATATTGTTGTTCTTCATGTTCTATAGAGACACATCCACAAATAGGTTTATGGTACGCACATTCAGACACACTCACAGTCACTATTACACATACACTTACATTCGCACATACCCACACTTACACTCACACTCAATTTAATTCTCAATGTTACACTTACACTCACACATACCCACACTTACACTCACTTTAATTCTCATTTTCATTCTCACACGCACTTATATTTATACTCAACATACATAAGAGCGCACGCACACGCACACATATATTCGCTCACCCATTTAATTTGGGTGCTAGTACGTAGGGTTCAGTCATATATGAGTCCTGCCATTATAAACATGTACATTAACCTTAATAGAAATATAATAGAAATTGCAATCCTGGCTGTGCTTACTCAAGATTTCTAGACGGCGTCTACATTGTATCATCCCGGAGGTAACAAGGCTTTTGGCGCTTGCTTTCATGCATCCTTTTATACTTGAATGGAATTGAGAGAAAAAGGAAAATTGTGTAGTTACAGTATAGACATTTGTTGGTGATTTTACAGATTTACTGTTTGGCCCTTCCTCCTCAAGCGATGGGTTCTCTTGAAGGCCCCCTTTCCTTCTCAATAATTTACCATAGTGCCATATGACCTTTGATGTCTAGGATATATTGTCTAAACCATTAACCACCACCACCCCTTCACTCAGGCCTACATTTTAGATGACCCCGCCAAGCCCTCGACTGCTCTAGAACAATAGACCTTATCCCATCCCACCAGGCGGTTTTAAAGCACCTCGTCCACCGGTTGACTACACTAGCTCCCCCTAACGATTTTGAAGCATCCGAGTACTTCATGGCTCTCTTCCACCAGCCAGTGATGAGAACATCTTTCCAGTGCTCGAACCTCGCCCTCCCCAATACGATTTTAAGTTGCGTTCAGGTCGTCCATTTCTATCGCACTGACTGGCGCCCGTTTTTTATGTAGTAACTGCTTTTACAAATGTATTTACTGCAGGTGAAGCCCGGATGGTGACAAAGACCGAATCAGTAACGCGACGAAAAATCGTTACAAAAGATGCACACTTCTGTACTAGATTATTTGAGAGCTTGTGCGAGAAAATTTATTTCATTTGACGCTTAGGATAAATCGTCCACTTATTCCGCATGGTTTTACAACAGATTCTAGGTCCTCGCACATAAAAGTTAGGCGAAATCAGCTTAAAACATATACATATACTATTCTGTATGGAACGCGTATTTACTATTTACATATCCACATATATAGCCAGCATAAATCCAGCATTCGGCATTCATTATGTAGGATTTGATCCCTTTTTCTATGTGTTTGTAGCCATTTTGACCACCTTGAATTCGCGTTGTGGCACAAGGAGGATTCCTGAAGACTTTTTGAGAAGCTTAAATCAGTTATCTGGATTTTTCATGAATATTTCAGCCTATTATGAATTAGTCTGGGGGTATGCCTATATATAGGGTAATACATACCTTGGTGTAACAAATAACTGGATAATTCATACTACGAGACAATATATATATATATATATATATATATATATATATATATATATATATATATATATATATATATATATATATATATACGAGTGTGTGTGTGTGTGTGTGTGTGTGTGTGTGTGTGTGTGTGTGTGTGTGTGTGTGTGTGTGTGTGTGTGTGTGTGTGTGTGTGTGTGTGTGTGTGTGTGTGCATATATATTTTTTTTTATATTATATATATATTTATATATATACATATATTTTTATATATATTTATATATATTTATATGTATATAAATACACACGCGCGCGCGCCACACACACACACACACACACACACACACACACACACACACACATATATATACTATATATAATATATATATATATGTATGTATTTATATTTTTATACATATTTATATGTATACACTATATATACATATATATATTTTATTTATATATATTTATATGTATACACACACAAACACACAACACACACACACACACACACACACACACACACACACACATATATATATATATATATATTATATATATATATATATATAATACAGAGAGAGAGAGAGAGAGAGAGAGAGAGAGAGAGAGAGAGAGAGAGAGAGAGAGAGAGAGAGAGAGAGAGAGAGAGAGAGAGAGAGAGATGCAATCAGACAGACACAAACAGACTGATTTACACATAAACAAATCGATATTGATATGGATAGATAAACAGATATAGATAGATCCGCATCCATTTCCTCATCCACCGAGGCACTCAGCGTGTCTCCCACATACCAGTCTGTTGCTGTACTCGCCCAAGACAGCACTCCCATCTGCTCGTATCCATCCTCCATCGGGAAAGGCGAGATCAGTAGTAGCAACATGAGGTGTCATGGCGCCTGATTTTATATTTTTTGAAATGAGTACGTGAGGTTTATTTTGATTGACGTCACAAAAGTTACGGATGCTTTGTGAATGTGGTCGATCATTTTGGCCTTTTCAATTTTCTCAAATATGGAAAATAATGATTTTGATGGTTATGTTTTCATCGAACAACCATCAAAACAGACGCCATGACACCTCCTCGTGTTGCTACTGATCTAGCCTTTCCCATTCTCTCATTCACGAGGAACGAAAAAGGGGAATTGGTGAAAGAACGATAGATTAAATCCAGACAAGGGGGGAGGGGTTAATGAGGTACAGGAACATAGCCGAGATTTCTTGGTAATTAGAACACGACCAGCTGTTTATAGGTTAGAGAAACGTTGGAGTGACGCCTTGTTAGATTGGTAATAAACACAACAGGAGACGAGAGAGAGCACCGAAGACGGCCCAGCTGCAGATGGAAGATGGATCAACAGGAGACAACCGAGGAACCCAGAAATGATAGTCCACAACCAAGAGAACCCGCATTAGACGGGGAAACAAATCGAAGTCAACAGACACACTTAAAAGAGATTAAAAGAACAGGAAGGCACACAGAGAGAGAGAGAGAGAGAGAGAGAGAGAGAGAGAGAGAGAGAGAGAGAGAGAGAGAGAGAGAGAGGAGAGAGAGAGAGAGAGAGAGAGAGAGAGAGAGAGAGAGAGAGAGAGAGAGAGAGAGAGAGAGCGAGAGAGAGAGATATATATCTATATATATATATATAATATATATAATATATTATATATATATATATATATATATAGTATATAGAGAGAGAGAGAGAGAGAGAGAGAGCAGAGAGAGAGAGAGAGAAGAGAGACAGAGAGAGAGAGAGAGAGAGAGAGAGAGAGAGAGAGAGAGAGAGAGAGAGAGAGACAGACAGAGACAGAGAACAGACACACAGAGGAGTGACAGAGAGACAGACAGATTATTACCCTTGCAGTCGGAAGAAACTGGGCATGATGGGACTTTTTTTATTCTTACTATGACCATTTTGTATTCCCTGTCGTGTTCCGGAAGCCACTTAGAATGTAAAGATTATATCCTTTGAATCGTCTCCGTGCCTATGAGTTGGGCACGACAAATTATGGAGAGAAATTCCCTGAATATGTAAGAATTTTGATTTGCACAATAGTACGGTAGTATTTACTTACAAAAAAAGGTATGATTCAGTAGTTATCAATCTGCATCGTCTTTCGTAATAAATTTCTTGGTGATTTCAAGGTCTCTCGTGGTCGAAAAGCTGACCAAAACAATAGGAAAGATTTGACACTCCTACCTTGGTATCTTCTGCTAAGTCCAGGGCATGGATGTAGAATATCGATTATCTACTCTAAATGACCTTCAGGGCGATGTATTTATAGAGACAGTAAGAGAGATACTAATACTGACAGCTAATAATGTTATACGTTTAATAGAATCTTTCTTTAACTTGAAAGAAAACGACATTTTACTTTCTCTCCCACTTTCCTTCTTTCTCTCTCTCCTTTCCTCTTTCTCTCCCCCCCCTCTCTCTCTTTCATTCTCTACCACTTTCTCTCCCTCTCCCTCTTCTTTGCCCCCCTCTCTCTCTCTCTGTCTCCCCCCCCTCTCTCTCTCTTCGTCTCCCCCCCCCCTCTCTCTAATTCGAGGGAAAATAGAAAAATAGTCTTTGAACAACAACTGTATACTCCACTACAACCTATGGATCATCAGCTGGCAACTGGTAATCCTCAGTAACTTTAAGTGACTGCAATTAATGTCAGCATTAAGAGTTGATGAAACACTGTTGTGGTCTCTATGGTTATATATATATATATATATATATATATATATATATATATATATATATAATATATATATATATATATACACACACACACACACACACACACACACACACACACACACACACACACACACACACACACACACACACACACACAGATATATATATACATATATATATGGTATTATTGGAAATGCATCCCCATGCCTAATTCAAAGAATCTGAGCATACCATGTGGTAGAACACATCATTCTATGAAAGTTTTCTTCTATACCATTATCCGCGCTAATTGATACTTACGGTGTTACAGAGGTACAAAATCCACGATTTCCAGGAGCCGCAGTAACCTTCCTCCTCCAGCGCCGCGAAAAAATGACAAAAAAGCCGTTAAAAGCGAGAAATCGGACGGATTTGCAGTGGATGACGTATGCGAGGGAATCAAATCAGCCAATTAGATTCGTGCGTGAACGTGACGTGGACATAGACACTCAATCGAACCAATCAGATATGGAATAGATCATCACGTGACAATAGAAGTTGGGCCAAGGAGAAGCCTTTTGAAATTCGAATCAGTTCCATCATGGTTAGATAATGTGTAGGTTGTGAAAACAATTATTTCGATTTCACTGCGAAATATCAGCAAAATAACGAGGTAAGCTTACTAAATCTACATCACTTCTGTACTGCCAGTGGAAGTACAATGCCCGCACTGCAAGACATCGTGTTATTACAGAAATGACAGACACCAGTAGGTTTGCGGTGCCTGATGCAAAAAACAAAACAAAGAAAGCAGTGTAACTTTACTGTTAGCAAATTCCCGCCAACAACGACCTAAAATATTCCGACGATCCCAGTGCCCCGCAGCCTGGCCCGGCTGGAGTTTGGGCTGAAGGTCAGAGAGGGTTAAACTGCTTCTGGGTCTGTGCTCTCTCCTGCCGGAACATATGAGGTGAAGACTTTGTAGACCAGGCGGGGGTAGGGGGGCGGTAGCCCTCCCTGAAAAGGGGGTATAAGGGGGCGAAACCCCCTATATATACTGAAAACGTGTCAGATACCAGGTTTGCCCGGGCTCTCTCCTGCCGGAACATACGAGGTGAAGATTTTGTAGACCAGGCAGGGGGTGTGGGTGACGGTAGCTCCCATTATAAGGGGGTTTAAGGGGGCGGAAATGTGTTAACATACTATGCTTGCTAGTATTCTACCGATATTTCTCGAAATTCCCTGATATATAGGCCTATCATAACTCTCCCCAGCTATCGGGACCGACATCATAGTTAAGCTTCGTTTGCGAAGAATTCATGATGAAAAGATTGCAACAGGAACAACGAAGGGAAGGGCAAGAAAACACACGAATCCCTGACGAAGCACTAGCGAAAAGGCCTTCGGAATATTCGTGTGTTTTCTTGTCCTTCCCTTCGTTGCTCCTGTTGCAATTCATTTGCGAAGGAAATGAGTGAAACACGACGAAAGCTATTGGGAAATGATTCTATTCACCCCCCAAAATGGTGTGGGGTTGCATTTCCAAATTTACCATATATATATATATATATATATATATATATATATATATATTATATATATTATGTATATATATATATATATGTATGTATTATGTATATGTATATATATATATATATATATGTATATATATGTATATATATATATATATATATATATATATATATATATATATATATATATTATAGCTATATAAAGAGCCATATTGAAACAAATCGAGATTTATACCACCAAATGTGTCAGTGCAGGTCAAGATACAGCTAAGAAAGAATGAAAGAATAGAAAGTCAGCTGTTAACTTAAAAAAAAAAAAAAATGTTAGCTGATCTTTTAAACTTATAAAGAGTCGAAGTTACAATCTCTGAAGGCAATCTATCCCAGAGTCTACAGATAGCAGTAAATAAGCATCTAGAAAACCGACTTGTAGACGATCGACTTAAATCAAATGCCACTGAATTGAGAGTCATAGAACTTCTGGTCATTCTTGCAGGTTGATAAAAATCAGGTAAAAACTTATAGAAGGGATGTGAATTATCGGTTACAATCTTGTATAAGATTGAAAGAGATCCAATAACTCTACGATGTCCAATGTCCAAATTTAAGTCAGACAGGAGAAATTCAATGGAATTAAAAGAGCGATAAAGCAGTCTTAAGTGTGTTTCGGCAGCAGATAACCACACAGGAGAACAATACTCAAAATGAGGCAGAATAAAAAAAAGGAAGCACCTACGTGTAATTGATTTTCTTGCACTTGCGAATGATGCCTAACTTTGATGAAATTGCCCGAGCCATATTCTTTTTATAATTCGAATGTAAGCTTTGAATTAAAGGTTACACCTAAGAGCTTCAGGTTATCCACTGAAGTGACTAAGACTCTATTAATCACTAGAATTGGACGCTGAGGCAACTACGTTCGAGACCGACTCACAATCATGTCTTTAGAACTAAAAGGCGTAAGATTACGGCTAATTTAGGGGCTAATTGGCCATTTAGTCTTTTTAAAATCAGGAAACAAACCATCAGGGTCTACTCCACCATGTTCATCTGATTCTGATAACATACTTGTGTGTGTGTGTATGTGTGTGCGTGTGTGTGTGTGCGTGCGTGTGTGTGCGTGTGTGTGTGCGTGCCCGTGTGCGTGCGTGTGTGTGTGTGTTCAGTAATTAAGCACTAAAGAACAGCCTTTTAGGCATGCATATTAAATGTTTGTCTATGGTCCTTAAATCGATACAGTTGCAGCCAGATTGGGTTGATAATCGGTCTCATCTCCCTGGCTTTTTGCGGTGCATGTAAACTGTTCCGTATTTTTTTTTTTTTTTTTTTTTTTCAAAATTAAATCAGATCTCTCTCTCCTAATAAGTAAGTGTATAATTGCGTGATGGAGTGATTACTATTGTATATCAAATCCAAATTCTCTCTCTCTCTCTATTTCTCTATCTCTATCTCTCTCTCTCTCTCTCTCTCTCTCTCTCTCTCTCTCTCTCTCTCTCTCTCTCTCTCCCTCTCTCTCTCCTCTCTCTCTCTCTTCTCTCTCTCTCTCTCTCTCTCTCTCTCTCTCTCCCTCTCTCCCTCCCTCCCCTTCCCCCCTATCTCTCTCTCTCTCTTCCCCCCCCCTCTCTCTCTCTCCTCTCTCTCTCTCTATCTCTCTCTCTTTCTCTCTCTTCTCTCTCTCTCTCTCTCTCTCTCTCTCTCCTCTCTCCCCTCTCTCTCCCTCTCTCCTCTCCCTCTCCCTCTCTCTCTCTTCCCCCCCCCCCTCTCTCTCTCCTCTCTCTCTCCCCCTCCTCTCTCTCTCTCTCCTCTCTCTCTCTCTCTCTCTCCTCTCTCTCTCTCTCTCTCTCTCTCTCTCTCTCTCTCTTCTCTCTCTCTCTCCCTTTCCCCCCTCTATCTCTCTCTTTCTCTCCCCCCTCTCTCTCTCTCTCTCTCTCTCTTCTCTCTCCTCTCTCTCCTCTCTTCTCTCTCTCTCTCTCTCTCTCTCTCTCTCTCTCTCTCTCTCTCTCTCTCTCTCTCTCTCTCTCTCTCTCTCTCTCTCTCTCTCTCTTCTCCTCCCTCCCTCCCTCCCTCCCTCCCCTTCCCCCCTCTCCTCTCTCTCCTTCTCCCCCCCCATCTCTCTCTCTCTCCTCTCCTCCCCCACCCTCTCTCTCTCTCTCTCTCTCTCTCTCTCTCTCTTCTCTCTCTCTCTCTCTCTCCTCTCTCTCTCTCTCTCTCTCTCTCTCTCTCTCTCTCTCTCTCTCCCCCCCCCCCCCGATGTGGCCAAGGGCTTGAAAATTCGTGTTGCTGAGGATGCTGACAGCAGCCTAGACTTGACTTAGTTCTGACTACTGTACCTGCAATTTGGGTCCCGTCTACTACTTTAATTAAAACCTTTTCAGAGATATGTGGTAGATTGTCATTCTCAAGAAAACAACATTCACTTCAAAATGACCCTGAAGAGATGCTAACAACAAGAAACTGTTTCTGCATACCGATCTGCAGATGAGTTTAGGTACTTAATATTTTTAGAGATATGTGGTAGATTGCCATTCTAAAGAAAATAACATTCACTTCAAATATTAAGTGCCTAAACTCACCTGCAGATCGGTATGTAGAAACAGTTTCTTGTTGTTAGCATCTTTTCAGGGTCAGGAAGTTTTAATGCTGATACCCATCATATTGTGCTGTGGTGTTAGAATTTTGAGTCAGAGTTATTGTCAGCAACCACATGCTACCTTTACATGTACAGGTGCTGTGATTGACGGATATATACAGAAAGCTGGCGTGACACATTGAACGTTGGGTATATCATGAGTATAGTAGAAAAAAAGGAGTCTTGAAATACAGCGTAAAGTCAACATAGAACCTATACGGATGCCAGGGATGTAAGTTACAAGACCAAAATGCATCACACGATAACAAAAACAGAAATAGTTATTGGTGTACTATCCCCCTCGCTTCTCTCTCCGACAAGAACCGTCATGGGACGCTCGGCAGAACTCGGATCATTTTTTTCCTAGTCTCCAAGGCCTTCCCCTAGTCCGTGCACATAAATGGATATGCATATGTATACGCACGCATCCTTTATTCAACATCTTAACTACGTGCAAGGTGAAGGACATTCCCCCATGGACGTGTATGCGTGTATCTGTTCGTATGCGTGTCTTCCTATAAAGTGAACGGGGTAGTGTTACAGGAGCCACTCGGAGTGTTGTTACAGACAAGGTAGGAAAGGTGTCAGGATCTCTCACTGTGGGTTTTTGGTCGGTTCCACTGCAGAGGTAACCATGGCAACGGGGTAGTGTTACAGGAGCCACTCGGAGTGTTGTTACAGACAAGGTAGGAAAGGTGTCGGGTCGCCGATATTCACTCTTTTTCTTTTCTTTTGCTCTGTTTTGCTTTGCATTCTTTAGGTCCAGTGTATCCATGAATATATCCGCACCTGTTTGTGTGTGTGCGTGAGTGTGTGTGTGGGTGTGTGTGTGTGTGAGTTTGTGAGTAAGTGTGTTTGTGTGTTGTGTGAGTGAGTGTGTGTGAGTGCGTGTGTGTTTGAGATGTGTGTGTGTGTGTGTGTGTGAGTGAGTAAGTGTGTGTGTGTTTACTAAGGTTTATTGTGTGGGCGAGGTGCGAATGGGTTCAGGGGAAATTTGTGTTTATATAGGTATAGCACACATGTGCGCACGCGTGTACATACACATACACACACCCTATTATCATCATCATTTTAATTGATATCAAAATTATCTTTATTGTAAGTACCACTGCTTTCTTAACCCGATTTTGTAATATTTATCCACATAGAAGCATGAAGTGACTCTTACTGACTGTAAATTGTATTCCTGTTATCACTGGACTAATCAATCAGTCGGTATATGGTGATGATGAATACTATTACAGGAGCAACAGTAGTAATTTCATTTATGGAAACGTATTCTAATTATGGCCGCATGTTCTGTCTGCAGATGGTCGCTTCTCGCCGCCCTGCTGCTCACGGTCGCCTCGTTCCCTCGCTGCTGGTGGCGGTGGGCGTCGTCCTGCTGGCCCTGCAGGTGAGCACGGGATCCAGGCGCTGTTGCCTGTGGGGGGGGGGGGGGGTAATCTGTGTGCGTTTGTATACATGCATGTGTGTGTGTGTGTGTGTTTTCGCGCCGTCTGTAAACATGCACAGAACTACCTGGGCTTATGTGCGACTTAAATCATTGATGAAATAGTAAACAAAATCGGCGCCAACACCGACCCTTGAGGCACTCCGCTGGTTTTTCGTCGCCATATAGACTGCTTTCCTCTAATTGCCTTTCACTCCACCCAGGTGTTCTAATTTCCATATCAGGCTTGTATGAGACACCTTATCAAAGACTTTTTAAAGGACACATAATCCACCCAGCCGTCTCTATCTTGTAATATTTAGTAACTGTCACAAACACATAGCTTTGTTGCACATGACCTTCCTTCCCTAACTAAATTACTTATTTGGTCATTTCGTGTTTATCAACTATTTAAACCCATCTTTTCTAACAACTTGCATACTACATTGTTAACGAAACTGTTCAAATTTAGAGGAATTTGTTTGTAGCTCTTATATAAGGGTGCAAGGCTGGCGTTTTCAACTTTTTGTTAGTTTTCCATGTATCAATGAATTTTTGAATATTAACAAGGGGCGACTGTGTGTGCTCACCCCCCCCCCTCTCTCTCTCTCTCTCTCTCTCTCTCTCTCTCTCTCTCTCCACATGTGTGTGCGTATATGTTCGTGCACGTGTGTGTATATTTATGTGCACACACATATGCTAATTATTATGTTTCTGTACATTAGGAATAAATGGCTAAGTAAACACGCACATGGATAAATACACCCACAACAATTTGCACTACTGACGACACACAAGCATGTAGGACGCACCCTAGATTTAATATGAATATGCTCAGAAAAAATAGGAAATTATCTAGTATCAAGGAACTGTTCCTTACCCAATTTTAGCTGGTTTGTTTCGGTAATTGCTTACAAACGGACTAACAAATGTTCCATTACTTGTCTGAAATTGCAGCTTCAATGAAAGTTAATTTTTTACTTAATTCGGCACTGTCCCTCCCTGATACGAGCACCACAAATGTTGTATTGTGAATATAGTGGTCCTTGCAATATGACTACAACTACTTAAAGGTTTGTTCGATCATTGCTGATAGTTTCATGAATTATTAGGGATTTACTGAGTATCCCTTGTTTATTTATGACCATCCTAGAACAGCCATCTCTGTTATTTGGAATTGTTCACGTAATACACCATTAAGTGTTTGAGAGTTATTGTTAAATCGCCTATAATGTTAAACTGAACTTGGTCTGATTTCAAGGAGCAAATTTTGAAATAAAGGTGCGACCTATATGCTGAAAAATACGCGTGTATGTGTAGCATGAGGAAGAGGAAGGGAGTAACCGTAGATAAACGAGGAATAGCAGAAAGCCAGAGAAAGATATACTAGCACCTGTATTGACTTCAGAGAGAAAGCCAGTGCTCGTAACTGTGATATTCGATAAGTAATTCTTAGGAAAGGGAGATTTGATCGTTAGGATGTATTTTTGTACAGTATAGTAAGGTGATGAATAAGATGATAGGTGAATGGGAGAGGGAAGGAAAGCGGGGAGAGGGAGAGAGAGGGGATATGGAGAGAAAGAGAAAGGAAAAGGGGAAAAAAGAGAAAAAATGGAATTGATTATGACATAACGAGAGGGGAAGGGATGGACCGGTAAGTGGCATAGAACAGAAACCTGCAATGCAAAAGTACACCTATTAATTCCCTCATATGACCCGCATCCCACTGGTTTCCCTCCCACAGATAGCAGCCGCTGAGGCCTTGGCAAAGGGTTCCAGTCAGCCGTATCCAGGAGGCTTTCGCAGGCGGGGGCTTACCAACACCACTCTACGCAAAGTCAGCCCAGCTACCACTCTCAGCAGGCCACTCTACCGCCAGCCCAGCTACCAACACCACTCTACGCAAAGTCAGCCCAGCTACCAACACCACTCTACGCAAAGTCAGCCCAGCTACCAACACCACTCTACGCAAAGCCAGCCCAGCTACCAACACCACTCTACGCAAAGACAGCCCAGCTACCAACACCACTCTACGCAAAGTCAGCCCAGCTACCAACACCACGCTACGCAAAGACAGCCCAGCTACCAACACCACTCTACAAAGTCAGCCCAGCTACCAACACCACTCTACGCAAAGTCAGCCCAGCTACCAACACCACTCTACGCAAAGCCAGCCCAGCTACCAACACCACTCTCAGCCCAGCTTCTAGCCCAGAAGTCAGCCCAGCTACCAACACCACTCTACGCAAAGTCAGCCCAGCCACCTACACAAAGTCAGCCCAGCTACCAACACCACTCTACGCAAAGCAAGCCCAGCTACCAACAACTACGCACCACTAGCTACCAACACCACTATGCCCCACCAAACCCAGCTACCAACACCACTATGCCCCACCAAACCCAGCTACCAACACCACCCCACGCACCACCAATCCAGCTATTGCCAATATCTACCAATAGGTCTACCTTAACCATGGCGGGGAAATGCCCAAATGAATTTTTAAAAAGGTACATGTTTCCACGTCCTTAGATCTGCGAATGCTTCGAAACTTGTTATCTCTGCCTGTCAGTCTCTCACGCAGGCGCGCGAACACACGCATTCGCAGTTAACCAATTTGTAAATTAATGTAATTCTTAAACTAATTCATGGCACCAAAATAATGTGTAAGTGGTTGTATTCTAATAGAATTGCATTTGTATACCAATTAACATTTATGCACTGACAATGTCTGCACAAAATTTTAGACTGTGTATAGTAATGTAGTTATAATGAGTAAACAAACCTTAACATTTTTCATTTATATGTGACTCGACCCACTTATTTTGCCCTCGTGTATGTATGCGTGGCAATTAATACATCTACGCGTATAATCACATATCAAGCCTTCTTGCAAGTATGCCTTTTTCTGTTTTCATTACCTACTGATTATCATTTCCTCAAAAAGCATATTATGTAATATGGACTTTTCTCTCAAGGAAAAAGCTTACCGCCCTCGCCTACAACCAAAAGCTTCCCTAGAGTGAAGGCCTCACGCACATCTGCTGGTCTCTCCCTCCCTCTTCCTTGGATCTCCGTTCTTTCTACGATGGTTAATAGACCATGGTTACATAGCAAAATAAATTAACTTGATATCAAAGGTCATATATAACAGTATAGAAAGGTGTAGTAGTGAAAAGGGTTAAGAGGGGGTTTAGTTAATGATTAAATGTGATGCTTGTCAAAAGTCGCAAAGCTGTTCTCAGGATAGTAAGTCGCTAACCAAAAAGGGGGGTGAGGGGGGAATCAGGGTGAGTACATGGGCTAAGGTAGGGATTAACAAGGGTGATTAGATCAAAGTGTGGGATTCTGCAATGATGTCCGTAAGGGGGCAAGGGAGGGAGAAAGGAGAAAGGGGTTTAAGGGCGATTAGATCACAGTTTCAGGAGAAATGTTAGGAGGGAGAGAATCCAGAAGACGGGGTTGTTGTGACAGTCAAATATGTGTCCAGAAGAGAGTGGAAGGGATAATGGGGAAGGAATGGGATCTTTTGGGAGGAAGGGGTGTAAGGGAAACATGAATAGGAGGAGGATGGATGCCGGCAGTAACTTGAGTGTAGAAGGAATGGGAGCAGAGAGACTGGAAGATGGAAGAGGTGTAAGCATGTTATCTTGGGTCATAATGATGATTATTATTGTAAGCTATATAAAGAGCCATACTGAAAAAAAAACGAGATTTATAACACCAAAGGTATCAATGCAGGTCAAGATTCAGCTAAGAAATTTGAAGATAGAAAGTCAGCTACGTACGTAAGAACATGAGTCGAAGTTACAATCTCTGAAGGCAATATATTCCAAAGCCTACAAATAGCAGTAAAAAAAAAAAATAAATAAATAAAAAATCCAGAAAACTGGCCTTTAGACGATCGACTTGAATCAACTGTCATTGAATTGGGGGTCATAGAACTGGTAACTCTTACAGGTTGATAAAAATCAGGATTTTTTTTTAGAGGGGATGTGACATCGGTTGCAATCTTGTATAAGGCTAAAAGAGCCCCAATAACCCTACGAGTCCCAATGTCCACATCTAAGTCAGACAAGAGATATTCAATGGAATCATAAGAAAGATCAAGCAGTCTTCAGTGTGATTCTGTGGTAGATAACCACACAAGAGAACAATACTCAAAATGAGGCAGAATGAAAAATAAAATCTACAAGTAATGTCATCTTAGATCTTGCACTTGTGAATGATTTCTAAATTAGATGAAATTGCCCGGGTCATATACCTAATATGCAGTTCAAATGTAAGATCTAAATCAAGGTTACACCTACGAGCTTCATGTTAATCGCTTCAGTGATTAACCTGCGGTCGAGACCGATTCGCAATCATTTCCTTAGACTGTAGGATTTCATTTCATGCCCCGCCGAGAGCATCACAATTGAATTATCATCAGGTCTACAGTCAGACTGTCGGCTGCTATTTGCCTAGAAGGAATATCAGCGTAAAGAGAAGTATCATCAGTATATGCCATTTTATTAGTAATGTCAGGCCACATATCGATTGCATAGAAAATAAAGCGCAAAGGGCCAAGAACACTACCCTGAGGAACCCAAGAAGACACACGAGAATACGAGCTAAAACTACCATCAACATGAACACGCTGCTGCCTACAAGTTGAAATTTCAGTTAAAATACTTCAAACTTTACCACCAACACCAACAGACTGTAACTTAAAAATCAAACCCTTGTGATTGTGTCAAAAGCTGCACTAAAGTCCAGAGAGACAAGACCTGCCTCATGACCCTTATCTAAAGCAGACTGCAATTAACGCACCAACACAAGCAGGGCATCATTGCAGCCGAGTCCCTTTCTAAAACCAAACTGGAAGAAACGGTCTCAGATATACAGAAATACATTTGACCAATTCTGATAACAGATACTTGATGTCAGAGGACCAAAAAATGTAAATGAACTAAAGCATGGTAATGGGTAACATGAAAGAGGAAGTTCAGTATCTTCTAAACTTTGTTTTGAATTAAAATAGCCTGCTAACAAGGTAGCTTTCTCACTCGGATTATATGTAACACTACCATCGCATTTCATTAAAGGAGGAATAGAGGACTCAACACCATATGTGTGTATATACATATATATGTGTATGTATGTGATATATATATATATATATATATATATATATATATATATATATATATATGTGTGTGTGTGTGTGTGTGTGTGTGTGTGTGTGTGTGTGTGTGTGTGTGTGTGTGTGTGTGTAATATACTAGATATTGAACACCCTATAGTCACATCCTGAACTACGTATTTATTTCCTTTCCGCCGCATCAACATAAAGCGCGTATTCAGAATGTAGCAATAGGGTGCGGCTTGGGGGAAAAGCCTCCAGGTAAGGAAAGGTCATACACCAGCATGATAACTTACTGCGTCGAAAAGGTTTAGAATGGGTTAAAGATAACTGCAAAACATGTAGTGTGTAGTGTGCTGTGGGTTAGTATGGTAATAAATAAATAAATAAATAAAGAGCGAAGAACAGATGGAGTATGAGGGCCAGCCTTTCCTCCTCTCAGCACGGCTCTCACACTTCAGGATGTGGACAGAGAAGGAAAAAGGAGGAGAAGACCATGCAACATTAAATGAGGCGAGGGCTGAGGTCCTAGGTAGGGGTGATCCTCGACCTTGGGCCTCAGTATCCGTCTCCTAAGCCCCGACACAGCAATGACGAGCAAAGGATTGGGGGGGGGGGGTAAACTATATATGCATGTATGTAACGACAACAGATGACTTCACGTCCCCCTTGTATCCTGCGCATGCCTCTAGTTCAGGACCACTGCTCTAAGTGGATGGGTAAACGAGAGGATGAATGGGAGTGGGTGGATGAATGGACTGGCTGCCAGATGAACAGATGAATATATGGTGCATACAAGGATAGGCATTGTGGCAGGATGTGTTTGAGAAGTATGCATACTGCGTATGTTTAGGTGGGTTGTACTTGTGGTACTTTTTTATTTGGTTACTACTGTTATTGTATTTGGAACAGTAATGCTAGATGTACGGCTGCTAAATTTGCAACTGATGGGAGACAATTTTCATTCCTACATGTTATGTTGCAAGTGTAGTGTATCCTTGTTCTAGTGGCAATATTGAGGTCACCAAAGCAATTTTCAGGCTGGAATAAACGCATTTTTTGCCGTCACATATAGCCTGCATCCACCTAGTTGCATATTTACTTCCATATTATGCTATTTGTGTTATTTCGCAAAAAAAAAAAAAAAAAAAAAAAAAAAAAAAAAAAAAAAACAAGGGAGTACATTGAACTTGTAACCATATTTCTCTCCAACTTTTATCATCATCATGGGGCTAACGCATCCACCCTTTGTTTCCACCTTTTGGGGTCCCTCACTGTATGCCGCCAAGCATTGACTCGGCTCATCTCGAGCTCCTCACGACAGGTTTGGTCGATCTGCCCAAGCCACGACCTCCTAGGTCGTTCCACAGGCCTCTCCACCCAGGATTGTCTTTTGCAGAGACAACCAGGTGGGTAGGATCATCCTGTGCGAAACGAGCCAGGTGGCCGTATAGCCTGAGTTGGCGATCATGGATTGTGCAGGTAACAGGTCCAGTTCCAGTCTCACGGTGCAACCATTGGTTGGACACATGGTCCTGCCAACAGTACCCCATGATCCAGTGCAAGGACCTATTACAGAAGACATCAAGACAAGACTCCAAGGCACAGGATAATGTCCAGGTTTCACTACCGTATAGCAAAACTGGCATGATCAGGGCCTTGAAAACCCGTAGCTTGGTCCTTCTGCACAGGTACCGGCATCTCTAAATACTCTTGTCGAGAGAGTTCATGACCCCTGCTGCCAGGCCAATCTGTCTGCTGACTTCCTGGTCTGACAGCCCAGAGTTATGAACTGTACTACCATGGTATGTAAAGCTCTCTGTGTATTCAATGTCCTCGCCGCAAGCACGTACCGACCGAACAGATTCTCCTAGCAAGTCCCCAAAGTCCTGGATCTTGGTCTAGTTCCAGGAGACCTCTAGACCCAAGGGCTTCGCTTCATTACTAAATGCATCCAGAACCACCACCAAGGTTTCCAAAGACTCAGATAGAATCGCAACATCATCGACAAAGTAAAGGTCTGTAACCTTGATATTCCAAAGCGTGGCTCCACAATGACTTTGAACAGTAGATTTGCCCAGTGTCCAGTCCGTGCAAGTATTGAAAAGTGTTGGTGCAAGAACACAGCCTTGCCTCACTCCTGAACTAACAGGAAAGAAGCTCGACAGGCCCCCACCACACTTTACAGCAGTTTCAGTACCAGTATACAGACTTGCTATTAGTCCAATAATTCCTCTCAGTCTCAAGATCTCCCAGAGTGATTCCTGATGCACCGTATCGAACGCCTTCTTGAGGTCGATGTAGGCTGCAAGCAGCCCACGCCCGAACTCATGACGGCGTTCTACAATGACTCGAAGCGCGAGGATACGGTCTACTGAGGAATTACCAGGAGTGGATCCAGATTGCTTCGGCCTCTGATCCCTCAATAGGTGGTCTCTGATACGTCTCAGAAGGATGTGGGCGAGAACCCTGCCTGGTATACTGAACAGTGTGATGCCTCGGTGGTTGCTGCAGTCCCATCGGTCCCCCTTCCCCTTCCAGAGGGGGATAACCACACCCCTCAACAGGTCAGGGGGAATGGTACCAGACCGCCAGATGGCAGCCAGGACAGCATGCAATCCCCGCGCCATAGGTTCACCACAAGCCTTTAACAGTTCAGCTAGGAAGCCGGAAAAACCCGCTGCTTTGCCACTCTTCAGCTTGGAGATCGCCCCATAACTTCAGTTAGGGAAGGTGGATCCTCAATGGGTGGGTTCGGCAACGGAATCACGGCCCTACCCGCATCCAAGTTAACTGTTGGCGGGTCCACCCGATACAATTGCTCAAAATACTCAGCCCAGTGCTCCCGCACCCCAACAGGATCTGAGACGATCTGGGCACTTACTAGGCGAACTGCTGTCACCTGTGAAGAGGGCTTGGAGTTCAGTTTCCTCATGGTTTGGTATGCAGGCCGAAGGTCATTTACTAAGAAATGGCCTTCGACCTCCTCAGCAAGACTCTTAATAAACTGTTCCTTGTCCCTTCTTAACAGAGACAGTTCCCCTGAGAACGGTGCAAGTCCCGATCCCCTGTTAGACGAGCAGCACAGTAAGCATCTGTGGCTTCCAGTGTCACCTGTGAGATAAAATTCTGTATTGTCCTCGGGCGTTCGCCAATCGACTCAGACTGCATCAAGCATTTAGCGCAGAAGTACAGGGTCCGTCAGTTTGTCGAGCGCTGTGAAACGACCAGATTGCCTCAGCAAACCCCCGAGCACACTCCTCCTTCAGCCTGTCCAGATGAAACACCCTAGGGTGATCATTGGACTGCTGGGAGTTTTGAAGTGGACCCGGAGGGTAGCCACAACTAATCTATGGTCAGTACCACAGAACTCGGCACACCTATTCTCCTTGCAGTTCTGGAGGGTTCTCCGAGTGCTCACGAGTATGTGGTTGACCTCATTGGTTGCATTACCCGCATCGCTGCACCATGTCCAACAATGTGCGGTCTGGGCGCTGGTACCAGGAGCCAGAAATCCTCAAGTTCTGGGACCTTTCAAAGTCCCGGAAAAGGAGGCTATTCTCGCTGCCGGTATCAGCTCCTGAACCATGAAGACCGACAGACATCTCATAGCCAGCTCGATCACAGCCAGATACCGCATTGAAGTTACCCAGGACAATATGAATATCCTGCCGGGGACAGCCATCTGCCACAGCTACAAATTTGGCGTAGAACATCTTGACGTATCTAACTCAGAGCATTGTAATATATATAATAAAGTGTACATTTTGTTCTGTAAGGATTTATTCAATTACTTGATTCATTTCAAATAATGCTCAAGACTTCAAGAGCTGTTATCTAAACTGTTAATAAAGACCATCTTTCTAGCTATAAAAAAAGTTTAGAGTTTTCCAAGAATTGTACACACTTTCAGCTTATGCTTAATACTAGTGACAAGACATTTTATGTATCTACAGAAGGAAAAATTAAATACGCCAGTTTCGGATTATCCGTTTATGTTTTGTGATGGTGACAATTTGCAAACTGATTGTGTTATTTATTTATCTATTTTTTTTAAACCAGACCTACTTCTGCAAACATTTATAATAACCGTTTTATCTTTATCTTTCATATACTAAATCCTTCATAGAATTTAAATATTTTAATGCAGCAATATTTCTCAACAACATCTTTAAACTTCCGTCTTTCTAGTCAACTGTTAAACTCAGAATGAGAGAGGGGTGACTGAAGGCTGCTTGTGCATTTGATTTCTTTTTTTTTAAAGAAAAAGTCAACAAAGTTTTTAAAAACTCTTTTTTTTTTTTTTTACAGAAGAATGGGAATGGAACTGAGCATATAATAAGGCTATCTTATCTAATCCACTACTTTACCATGGCATTAAAAATACATTTGATTGCACCATAGCTCCTTGACCGTACAATAAAACTGGAACCGGAAAAAATATAAAAAAAATTAAAAGCTATAATATCAACAATGTCCCATGGCATAGGGCTCCACTCTGCTGCAGATGAGTCTACAAGCAAAACTCTGTACACTTCACATGACACAAAACAAAGTCAACAAATTTAACTACACTGTAGAGGGTAGAAAATTGTTTACAATACAATGTACAGGGTAGATGAACAGTACATTACACTGCTTTGTGTAGATAAATGGTTTACAATACAATATCTAGAATAGATACAAAAGGTGATATAAGAGAAGGCATCAGTTTTATATTGTATGTATACACATACAGGTGCTCAGTTGCACATACGTTGTCTCTGTGTATGTTATGTTGCACATACAAGTGTCTATGGCAGGAAGGAGAGGGGGGGGAGAAGGAGGAGGAGGAGAGAGGAGGAGGAGGAGGAGAAGGAGGAGATGGAGAGAGGAAGAGGAGAAAAAAGGAGGAAAAAGGAGGAGGAGGAAGAGGAAGAAGAGAGATAGGGAATGGGGAAATGAGGGAGGGGAAGACCATAAGAAAAAAAAGAGAGACTAAAAGTGTAAGAGAAGAGAAAAAAGAGTGTGTGTGTGTTTGCGTGCGTGTGCGCGCATGTCTCTCTGTAAATGCGTTTATGTAGGTACATGTGTGTCTCCCTGTATATGCGTTTATGTAGGTACATGCGTGTATGTATGTATGTGTCTATATCTGTATATGCATGCATGTGTGTGTGTGTGTGTACACTTGTACATGTTTGTAAAGAAACACAAGTCCGTAAAGTTTCCCGTAAGGCATGAAGGTCCTGGACATGGTGTGAGAAGAAGCCACTGGTGTGAAGATTAACCCCAAGCTTTCCATTACTATATATGTACATTTTTATACAAAGCAAGAGCAAGACTCCTGCAATACCTACCTATGCTAGCTTCGTCAGCGTAATCACAGATAGAGAAGATTGGTTCACAAACCTCAACTTCACTTAAATTATCACCAAGTTCAAGTCTGAGCTAGACCACAGACAAAAGGTCCTCCCATGTCTCAATGATGCGAATGGTATTTCCTTTGTCTTCCTATACTTATTTTGGTAACACTTGAAATGCTTATGTCCACACTGCTATAATGACTATACATGTCAAATAAACATCTTCTATCTAGATATTCATAAACAAAACCCTTCTTGATTGACATCTCCATGCAGGGATATGGCTTTCATATTTCCCTGCATTATAAAAGGAGATACTCTATATCTCTACTTTATACACAAACAGAAAGAAATCTATGCCAAGAAATACAAAAAGTCTGAAGACATAAGCAGTGGGTCATTCTATATACATTGCACTTGTCAACACTCCTGGTCAACCAAAAGTCAATGAACACACTGTTATCTGTACAATACATTTGTATATCTTCAAAACCAAATTCTAACAGGGGTCAATTTCCAACTACACCAACTGTTGGTAAGTGTAACTTGTGTAACTTCATTACACATGACAAATATTATGTATCTGGTTGTTATCAACCCACACACGTGGGAAGATTAGTGACAGTATAAACACAATAAATATACCAAGTTCTTAAGTGTGGGTGATAAACAATGAAACAAATATAATTATAAAAAAATAGCAAAAATAGAAAAAGTAATATAAAAATTCAAATAAAACTCAATCATGATGAATATGACTTAAAAATATTAAGTATAATAATGATGACAACTGCTGTCATTATAGCTCATAACAATTATCAATATAATTATTAACGACAACTGCAGTAAAACAGTAGCAGCAATATCAGTCCTATCAATCAATCATCCTTCACAAAATCGAACAACAGAAAGGCACTGCCAACTTTTGATACATCTCTCTCACAAACTGAGCAAGATGATCTTTCTAATCTGCAAAAACCATGTCATGCTCAGGATACTTTTCTTGACGACTCTCTCAAGGATACACTCACCCGCAAACACCCCACTCACCCTTCCTTCCTCTCAACAAGTTCTATGCAATTTTACCACACCAATCTTGTCAATCTAAAAATAGTTGTAATAATAACAAAAAGAAAACAAAAAAAATAAAGCCACAGGAATTTAGAAATACAGAAAAATTCTCAATTATGTGATGAAGAGAGGAGGTTGATCCAAGCCATCCTCTTTACAGAAAACCAGTGAAGAAAAACAAAGAAAAAGAAACTGGAAAATAAGAGAATACAGAAAAGACATCTGAGAATGAAAAGTCAGTACCGAATTTACAGTCGATGTGACCAAAGAAGAGAGGACAAAAGCAAGTTTCTTGTACTAACGGACATGAAACAATAAACACCTGAGAGGTTGAGGCAGAACGTAGCCATCACACCACTGCCAAGTCCTCATTGCAGTCTTTGTAAGTCACAAAGACTCTAAATGGGCACGTGTCACCGTTTGTATTTTACAGTGATGCACAGTTGGCCTCCACAGATCATCTGCTAGTGAGAGTGTAACAGAAAGTTGGTCAGCCTTCAACATCAAACACTTCTATATACCCCCTTCTGAAGACAAATATTAAGCTCCCAGAGTGCTATTACCCTTAACACCACGAGAATTTTTTTATTCATATTATATCACCCAATGGTGGAAGGTCAGTAGCCTCTTATGACATAACTGTCCGAGCAAGTCCACACCCCTATAGCACTAAGTATGAGGGGAAACACCTACTGGTCCACAAGTGAAGATAGGGCAGAAAGAAATAACAGACTCTATGCTATAAATCAAGTTATGCATATCTACACTAAACTCACAGGTTTTTTAAGGCAAAGTGTGAGGTCATTGCTGATCAAAAGAGATTTTAAAAATCCCATTGATCTTGAAAGGTACATACAGTAAGTTTACTCCCACTGGCAACTACACAAAGGGATGCCAGACAACTACTCCACAGCCGCACACAAGCCACATTAGATATATTAGATATGTAATACACTTAAAAGAGAAAGAAGGCATCCTTCATCAGGCCACGTGGATCAGTCATCAATACAAACTCTGGGAGTTCCCTTGAGTGAATGCACTGTAGGCAGCACTGAAAAAGTAGGTTTGGGTAATTAATTTTTCTGTACAAATCACAAGTCACCAGACTGGTATACGAGTTGAGAAAGACAGTATAGCAAGGACGGTGAGGGATATCTTTTTTTTTTTAAATATTCTCCTTAAAGCCAACAAAATAAGCTATGTTAAAATACCTGTACAAACGATGGCATTAACATGGTCTGGCCATTTACCATCAGATAACTAACCCAATTGTTTTGAGCACAGGCCCAGGAACCAACACACTTTATACAAATTCTCATGCACAAAAATAAAAAAATGTTTAGTTTCCATGGACTAAACAGTAACAATGACCCAGCGTCTGAAAGCTCTCGCCAAAGGCCACCCATCAGACACATTGGTTGTCTATTTCTATATCAGTTACCAGAGACCAAATATTACATTCACAGCAAGGCCAAATTAATGCTTGAAATTAAATATGACCTGGCATCACTGAATGTGTTTGAAGCTGCATGGTACCATTGTGTGGAAAAGGTGCCAAAACACTTTTTTTTTTTAAATGTAGGAATTTCTACAAATTCTGATACCATTATTAATAATGTGCATTATCCTATCCTTTAGTATATGTTACTGTACATCTTTATAACTAATCAGTAAGCTGAATTTATTGAGAAGATATCAATGCAAAATTCTCATACATTCACAATGGTTTTTTATGTAGATTCTGACAATGCACGGATTCGGTATTTCTATACGTAAAATAAAAACTCCATTTTCTCTCTCTCTCTCTTTCTAGACTCGCATCAAAAATTCTTACATTTCTTAACATTTCATCAACAGCAGCTATGGAACCACACACCCATTTCCCTTCACCCTAGTACAGTTGGAATCTAATGATCTGTAGTATTTTAAAATGGCCATTAACAAAAAAAATAATCTGGCAGCTGCAGACTCATTTGGTGATGCCCGACCACAAATATAAGCAGACCTGCTCACTCAACTGATATTTTGATTGTACATAAGGGCTGTTCTTAGGACACATTATGATAAAACAGATGAACCAAGGAGAAGCAAACCAATGTAGAAAGTCATGCATTTTGTGCTGAACTAAAGACTTTAATCTCAGTTCCGTATCTGAGCTGCTACTTAGAATTAAAGTGGAGTTAAAGCCCAGTGCTATTGGCTTAACTCCTGGTCAAAATCAATTCTGTACACATATTCAATGATGCAATAACTAGATCTAGAAGAACACTCACATCCCCATCTGAAAATTAAAATACTACTATATTATTTCAAAGTTGAAGAACGTGTCTAATCACTTCTCGTCCATCCTTCCCCATCAAAAGCTGTGACACTCACGTAATCATCATTATGATAATCAAAATCAATAAGAATAACAATAAAATTGGAACAAACCCTATTTTTCAACAAAGATCAATAGGATAGTCACACACAAACACTGCTATATTTATGGGGATGTGGTATTCTATCAGACCTGTAAATTTTGTAGATCCATCACAGTATTTGATATCCCATGCATAATATAAGAAGGGAATAGTCAAGAATATAGTTTTCTTAAATACTTTGTCTTGGACCCAAAACACTATTTATGCAGCATTGTGCATTGACACTTCAGCTTTGGTGATTGTTGTGGTCCATTTGGACAGAGGTATATACCTGAAACCATAAGATACACTCTGTCCATTTTATACTTATTACTGACATATAACACTTTGCACTTAACTGTGTGACAGTATTCGTCTTATTAATAATGATTGTAAATCATCAACAACTTCGACATATAAATAACTATTGTATAATAACTGTTTATCAAAGGAAGTTGTCCAAAACTGCTATTTACCACTTTCCTAAAGCAGCTTGACCAAGCAGATTGTGCTGTGCATGTTAGTGGCTGTTCTAAAGCTTTCAAGGATATTCACAAAGCCACCTACAGAAAGCTGCTTTGGTACCTAAAACATGACTTAACATCATTTCACCTCAAATTGCAGTCTGAGCCAGTTTTCTTCCTTTGTCTATGCGTTTTGTGCATTGCCACAGTTAACTCACACTCTCTATTACGATTGTTAGCTGATCACTGGTTCTTACGATAGGAGTCTTCTACGTTTATCCTCATCTTGTTGAAGGCTTCTGTCTTTACGAAATCGACTGTCTTGTACACTACTGAAGAAGCGGCAGCCCCAGCACAATTCTTCTGTGTACCTGCCTTGGTAGGTTTAGGACTTTGCTTGGCTTCTGGATGTAGGTCCAAGTCCAAATACTGGATTTCATGTTGAGAACGCCGGGCACTCTGCAAGGGAAAGAAAATCTGAAACGAACGAGAGGAGAAAGAAGAAGCATGCATTAGTTCCTGAAGCCAAACACCACCAGCCAAACATGCTGACATATAACATAGTCATGTGTGGAAGGTATAGAAGAAATAAAATTCATAGTCATGTGGAAGAGGTATAGAAGAAATAAAATTTATGACTGAGAACCACTGGAAATTCTCAGATGAAAAGAACATGAACTGTGTGTGAAAACGAAAATAAAGAAGGAAGAGGAGGAAGAATAACATGAAAAAGAAAAAGGTAGTTAACTCATTGTATGTGGTGTATGTGCTTTTCACTTTGAATTTTGTCTCTCACAGATGGCTCCACAACTGATCAGCCACCATGGAGTCGATTAGCAACACAACATGACCTCATCTGATTTCCCCATTTCTCGATTTTATTTTTGTGACCTCCCCCCCACCAATGCTTTTAAAACTGACAGTCATCATTAAAACTGACATTGTAATTATCATATCACCAAAAAATTAATAGCATTTCTTTTTTATCTCTTCAATTTTTCAAAAAATCAAGGACAAAGAGTAAACAAGTGAGATAAGCTGGAATAGTCATTGACTCCAAGGTCCCATCTAAACACAATCAATTAACTTGAATAAGTGTGTACATGGTGTGTAGGTCATACCATCCCAGCACAAAAGGTTAAAGGGACATGATGAAAGTGGGGATATGACTGAATATACTGGGAATACATTTCAAATAATCTTATGGGCAAAAGAATTGGAACTGAACACTTAATCATCTCTTGAAAAGTAATTATATACATATTCATTTAAGGTAAATACATTATAACTATATTGTTAACATAATCAAGGTATCATTCACAGAATTATTTTGCTTTATCTTATTTTATCATTTCCATCTAATAATCTACTCACTGCATATGATACATGCATTTCTGGCATCCCATCAAAATAACATACCAAACACTACATATCAAAAGAAGCTATAAATTAGTTTTTTTTCCTGGAGCAATTCAGTGCAATCAATTTAGAATTCTTAACTAAATGCAATTGAAAAATTAAGCTAAAAAATTTAATTGTATAAAGAAAAAAAGTTGTTCTTGTTATGTCACTGCACACACAACAGAAAGTCAACCAAATACCATGCACTATGCAGATTCATCATGCAACAAAAAAACTGTTTATATTCATTTGCAAAGCAATTTCATGCTATTTCAGGTAATGCCTCTTTATGAAAATATTCATTGCAAAATAAAATTGTAGCAACAATAATAAAAAATGAATCAAAGTTATGAACCTACAAGTACTTATTGTTTTAGCAAAACCTTTTACATGTAAACAAATACAAAAATAAAAATAATAAAATATATCAAATAGCCAGCAACTAATATTTTTTTTTACTGGTCATATTTACTGACAACAAATACTTGCATTTACTATAAATCTACATATTGTGATGTAAAGTCTATCCTTTTTTTGTGTACAACTCTATTTAAAAGAGCAAAAATCTCCCACAAGCAAGTCACTTCTAAGGCATGTCTATGTGGCATACTGATAGTGAGACTAACCTGCTCATCTGCATTGGTAGAGTTGCGTCTGCTGCCTGGACTAGAAAGTCTGTCAGCTTCATCACCACTCTCATTCCCATTACATCCATTGCGCATAGTTGGAGGAGTTGGAGATGGAGCAGCTCTTGGTTTTCTTTGATCATGCTTTCTATGGCCGACTGGGGCTGGGTCAAGAACAAAAATGGGTTTGCTTCCAGAATCAGGTATATTCTTTGTGGGCTTTAAATTTCTGTCTACCATGGGTGGCGCTGATGCAGGTGGAACTGGTGATCCACCCACAGCGCCCAAAATTTCTTGAGCGCCACCAGATGGAGGTGGTGACAGCTCTGAACTAATACTACTTCCATCAGCAGGCTTCCTTGGTTTAAGCCCTCGATCAACTGCTGGGGGATGTTGCGGGCTCTTGTTGGCTTGAGGGATATTAGAATAAAGGCCTGCAGGTGATATCCTTGGATCCAGCTCCCCATGCTTTTCAACTGTGTCATGAATACGCATGTCATAAGAAAATATCTGACCTTGGACAGATGGTGAAACAAAGTTATTGCAACGTTGTCTTTGCTGCAATCTATCTGCAGCCTGTGGGCTCACAGTCTCTTGATGTGGCATCCTCAAGGCAGAGTGCACATCTTCAGTGTCAAGTGGGGTGGACGGAGGCACAGAACTGCTGACTGAAGCTGGGGAAGGCTCTGGGTCAGAAGATCCAATGTTACCATCATGTGAAGACAGTGACCCAGCCAAGCCATTCTTTACTTTATCATTTGAACTGTTCTTTCTAACAATGGTGTCCAAGTTTTGATAAGTCTGTTGAGGCTCAGTTAAATGTGGTGGCTTTGGGGGCCGTGGGGGAGCTGTAATTGGACCCTGGTGCTGGTCATCTTCAGAGATTACCATACCTTTCATTTCACTTGGTAAACTGGCAACACCACTGCCTCCTGTTAGTCCCCCAGTTGCTCCATGGCTGTCCCAGGGTAAATCCTTTGGATTCTGCATACCTCCAGTAGGTCTAGCTGAGTCACTAAAAAATGTTGCTTCTACTGTGGAGGGAGTGTTTGCCCACTCATCATCACTGAATACACTACTTCCCTCAGTTCCCACTGGTGACTGGACACTCAGCGTATCTTCTGAGGTTGCTCCTGATGGCCTCATAATTCGTTGGCCATCATACGGTTCACGTGGTATTGCTCCCGTGTTTATCATGGGAGCTGGTGGTGCTTGTGTCAGAGGTGGATGACTGTCGGGACACATGGTTGGTGCTGGAGGAGCAATCTCATTAGGTATGCTAGAGCGATGATTCTCTGTTGACACAATGGTGGGCAAGTCATCACTAAAGGGGAAACTGGGGCTAGCAATTGGGGTTCTCTTCCCAGTAATACATTCGCTTATGGGAATGTATGGCCCTGATATGGAAGAACTCTGTGACGTGGGTGAAATTGGTGGAGAGTCTATCCGAGGTTGGTCCATGGGCAGGACACGGACGGGAGCAGGGGGCGTTGCAGGGATGGTGTTCCCTGGAAGAGGTTCTATGGGTGGTAATGGATAATCCTCCTGCTGGGGATACATCTTCAGGCCACATACTTGACATACACAGTCCACCCATCGGTTCATCTCCTGCTCAGTCTCTGCACATAAGTAGTAGATTCGCTTTGGGGTCTTGATGTCAAACATGTATCTATATTCTGATTTCCGATTAGGAAACACTATACCAGCATCAACCTGGAATGAGAAAATTTACATACAGTAGGATCTGAATATGAAGCGAAGTTCTTATTCTAATATTACTCTTAGTTATGACACAAATAATTAAAGTACGTTTACTTCATTTACTAATACCACTTTGACAAAGATTCAACTAACAGTCATCTGATTAAAACCATAATAATATCAGTAAAAATAATTATATTAATAAGTGTATTCATAATAAATAATAATAATAATGATCTAAGTTAATCTCCCCATGGAGCCAGAAAATCATATGAATGTAGGTAGGTGATAACAGCTGAGGAAATCGAGGACAGAAACCCAAAACTTGGAAAAATTTCTCTACACGGCCTCCAGGAAAGTCTCCATGATGATCTGGATCTGGTTATTGGGAAGAAACCAATACTCGGTGTCCAGAAAAAGAAATGCATCTCTTTTGCCGAGATCTATTAAGAGTGGGGCCTTAACACCTGGCGAAGCGTACTTCACTGTTATTCACAGTCGTGGAAGGAGAATCTACCCCATCCCTCTTGCACAGATCCTTATGTTCCACAGTATACTGTTAAGATGGTAGAACACCCTGACTCCCTCATGGTATAGGGTAATTTCACTTATTCTGGAGAAAATGTACACAGATTTTTCTGATCCCCCATTGATTGCAAAGTGCCAGAAGTGCCACACACAGAACACCAAGTCTTTGCACTCCAAATTGTGGTCCAGGGTTGCAAAACACAAGTTTCATGGTCTTGACCAGATCATGGTTCTTGCCTGCATTACATCCTTGGATCACAATTTCAGTAGCGAGGAGGGCGTGTTGTTGTGGACTCTGACTGTGGACTCTTCTGTTGAAAAGGAAAACTGGCAAATTCAGAAAAGGCAAACAAGGCAAAGCAGGAGAAAAAATCCTTCCACCCAGCCCTAACAGTGGGTCCTATTCCTGTTCGTAGCCCGGGTGCCCAGCTTGCACTCGCACCCCGGAGGCCTCAGCTAGTCCTGTTGCTACACTGGGCCCCATGCCCCATCATTCACACATTCATGCCACAGGGGCCGTACCAAGTGCTGCTGCTACCCCAGAGGCTGCAGCCAGTCCTGCTATTACCCTGGGTTCTGTGCCCCATCGTTCACTTATTCGTGCCTCGGGCACAGTGTCAAGTGATGCTGCTACCCCAGGGACATGTTCAGTCGTGATGCTACCCCGAGTCTTACACCACAATGTGCTCATGTTCGTGCCCTGGGGGCCTTGCCCCGCCCAGCTTGCTCACGTACACCAGGGACCTTAACCTGCCCATGCCACAACCCTCTCACCACACCCTGATCCTGCCCCAAGCCCCACACCACAGTCTCCTCGACCGTCAACATCAAGGAATGATTTCTCTGCCTGCGCTCCCATCCCTTACAATGTGTTGATGGTGGCCCCAATGCCACCACATGCCCCACGCCCAGCTAGAAGATCGAATTGTGACACTCCCCTGTAAACGGAATGCTTCTACAGGGTCACACAGATCCTGGGTATAATGCATGCCTGTACAGTCGTACTCATACCCAGGATCTACTGGACATGGTGGCGTGCAATGCCTGTGGTGGTGATCTCACCATGACACAGGCTTTGCACAATTTGAGAAGTGGATATGTCAAACATGTGTTATTATGGCCACAAAATTCCCCAAGGTCAGTGGATCAAACACGCCGAATTTGTCCTCGGTGTATGTATCCCAGGTGAATGACAATGGGTACAATGGATATATTTGGTATTGTGGTGCCCTCCATGTTCCAGCCCTTCCAAAGTTTGCATACTACCATCAGGCACGGATGCTCTTTGAAAGGACAGAGGCCTACTATGCCGAATCAATGGCTATTGTATACCAGACAGTCAGCCGATACTATCAGGATGAACTTGGGAGTGTTTCCTGTTGACATTATAGTTTCCATCGAGGTTTCCTACAATGGCACATATACCAAATGTAGGTTAGAGAGCCTCTATGCCATGGGATATTTGGTCAAGGTGTACACCAGTTATGTTACTGATATGTTGGTTATTGGTAAATGCCGGTTGTGCCCTCACATATCACGTGGCATGGAGGTTTGACCTCACAGGGATTATATTGGTTTATCAGGGGGGATGGAGGTCTAGATCGAAAGAATTCAGAGGGGCCGATCTCGCGACCTGGGATTTGAGTTTAGGGTCATGGTGGTTGACAGCAATTCTGCCACCTTCAACGCTGTCAGATACGTACAGTCGTGATTCTGTGGTGAAGGAGATGTGTGCAAACGATATTGGTAAGTGGATGACGACCCGCTCGCCCAAACTAGTGAGCACACTCATGCAGAACACGAAATTCATGTCGGGGAGAAGGAGGGGCCACGTCAGGAAAAATTATCCTCTTAAGAAATTATTGACAGAGCCTATGATGAACTGGTTGAGCAATTACTACATTAGTGCGATACACTCCAGTATCTGCACTGGTGTGGGGGAAATGCAATCTTGCATTCTCGCCGCATTTCATCCCCACTCGGTCCATATTTTCTACCCCCACCACCATGACTTGTGCCCGCCTAGAGAAGGCTCCTGGTGTAATTATCTGAAGGCTCTGGCTTGTGGCGAGGACCTGACCACAGCTATCCAGGAGTGGATTTTCTCCACCTGACGATGCTGTCGACTGTCCACAAAAGCGAGATGGTCGCCACCCGGTCCCACAGAGGGTTTGAGAGATTCAAGCCCCAAGTAGTTGTAGACTACAACATTGGGATCACTGGCTGTATCGTACCCAAACACTCGCAAGTCCCTCAAGTGGTACAAAAACATTTTGTTCAACCTTTTTGGTATGGCAGTTGTCAATGCCTTCACAATGCACAAGGTACTCGGATATGTACCACAGTCTCATTACAGGTGTGGGATGAGGTGGCTGGCTCACCTCGGCCACCGCATGCCTCAGCTCCCTCGTCGCCTCCCGCCTTACCTCCCTCGTCCCCACCTGCCTTATCTCCCTCATCTCCTCAGCCAGGCACATCCACACATACACATCATGCATGCCTGATATAACATCACCTGTCCCCTCAACATCACACGGACCTGCCTTAGATGTGCCTTCGTCACACGGTAAAAGAATAATTCTAATGAAAGATGTTATGCCTGAAAGTAATAAAGAGTATGATGAGAAATACATTTTCTCACGCTCACAACTGCAGCACTTATTTAGCAGTGTAAAATGCCCCACGTGGCACTCCAGAAGCATTGTAAAACCTGTGATGACAAAGCTGCACTTCGACAACCATGTGAAGTTAGTGTGTGACAGGTGTAATAAAACCCTCGCAGACACTCCTCCCGCTATCCATGAAAAAGTGACAGAATCAAACATAATCCAGATGTACCACAGTCTCTTTAAAGGTGTGGGACGTTCTGGTTTACAAAACTGCCGCATATTTCTCGCGTGGAAATCTCTCTGCAGCTGCTTACGCAAGGCATTGCTCTTACCTGTACAGAGAGATGGGAAAATGGTATGGCATAGTAATGGAGAAAGGGAGAGAGAAAGTGAGGCAGTTCTATCTTGACGAAGGTATTTCACAGCCAGACGCTGACGATAACATCAACGTCGACGTTTCATTCGACGGGTCGTGGATGACCAGAGGCCACAGGTCACACATCGGCATAGGGCTTGTGATAGATGTACATACCGGTATTGTGATAGACCTGGAGGTGTTACGCAATTACTGCCCAAAGTGCAAGCCAGAGAGAACTAAAGCACCTGGCAAACACGTCTGCCATAAGAATTTTGAAGGCAAGTTGCGTGCAATGGAAGGAGAGGCAGCGGTGCAAATCTGGTCCCGATCACAAACTTTCAAAATGAAATACACAACCTTCGTTGGTGATGGGGATTCTAGTGCATACAAAGCTGTATGCCAGCTGAATAATGGCAAAGGCCCACACAAAGACCCAGTTATGAAGGAAGAGTGTATAAATCATGTCAGTAAAAGGATGGGGACCAGACTGCGCAACGTAAGGAAGGATGCTAGTCAAATAATTACAACCAAGACTGGCAAGAGGATGAGGAGGAGCTTGTTAGGAGGTGCCCACATGTTGACGGATGAGATCATCGATCTTCTCGGGTCATATTACAGGAAGGCGATCTGTGACAATGTGGGCACCAACTATGAAACAATGAGGAAGGCTGTGTGGGCAACGTTCTTCCACCTGATGCCGTGTGATGACAATCCAGCTCATCACTTCTGCCCACATGGAGCAGGCAGCTGGTGCTTCTTCAATAGTGCACTAGCAGAAGACGTCACACCTGCCAGTCACAAAACGAAAGCTCTGTACCTTGCAAAAATCCCATTCGAAAAGCTGGACCTGATCAAATCTGTCTACTGAGATCTCACTGCTCCAGACATTTTACAAAGATGCCTGAAGGGAGCAACTCAAAATCCAAATGAAAGTCTTCCTTCGAAGATTTGGATAAGGTGCTCTAAGGCCAAGGTTTCTGGCTGCTTCCGAGTGCTGTTCGTCACAAAGGCGACAGTACTAGATCACAACTTCGGAAGGAAAAGGAATCTTCTTTGTCACTTGCTTGGGACCAATGCCACCATTTCCCAAGCACTTGAGGAGCAAGACTGTGAGACAGAGCGAAAAGGGTCAGTAAAAAAATGAAAGGGAAAGAAAAAACTAGTTGGGAGCTCTGAATACCAACCAGGAGCTTTCTAGAGAACAAACTTGGCAACAATGAGGGAGGAGGTGTCTCCTGATACCCTCGCCTTTGAGCGATTAATACCTTGTAAAAGGGGGGACCAGGTACCAGCTATACTTCACAAAACCATGTGAATACCATAGAATACATCAGAATTGACACATATCATAATTCTAAAAAAAAAAAAAAAGTGGTGGAAAAGTATTCTCAACTTCAAAGCCTGATATCTCAAAACTACACCTTTAGTCAACATTTTCTTACATAGTTCCATAACTACTCAGGCGATTCTAATGGGGTTTGGATCATTTGAAAGCTGAATAAATTTGCGATTTTTTGTGTATTTGGATTTTCATTTCAGATGATAGAAGCCCATATATTATATCTTATTTTCATACTATTGGGCATTTAAAAAAATATATATTCCCACTAAACTAAGAGGATATTTCGAAATCCCAATGCACAAGATTTAAGTATTGCATTAAGTATAGTGGAATTTTTTTTTTATCAAGTTCAGTAAATGGATAAGTAAGATATATAAATATTTTTGATTTTTCAAAATCTACCCCATCCCTCTTGCATAGATCCTTATGTTCCACAGTATACTGTTAAGATGGTAGAACACCATGACTCCCTCATGGTATAGGGTAATTTAATTTTTTATTATCCGAATGCTATGAAATTTGTATACATAACATAGTAAAAATTCGCGAAAATCCGATCATAATTAACGAATTTCGTTCTCAAAGTGGACTGCCCCCTTAACAGAAAAGCCAAGGAAAATTTCAAAATGCCAGCTGCAATTTTCATAGGATTTCTAAATGTCGGAGCACAGAACCACAGCAGAGTGGCGCTCTAAAGCTTCATCTCTCTGCTGTCTGATCAGTTTACATCACAGTAAAATATAGAGCCTTATCTTAGTCTGCTATCCGGGCCATATGGTTGACTTTATAATATCAACTGCAAATTAATGTTTATATTGGAATTGTTTTATCTTCTGGTCTATGGTGCAATGTAAAATTTAATGAAACAATGACATTTGTTTTACTGATGTGTTTGTAAGACAAATTTATTGGTTTCAAAATTCAAAATTGACAAAGTGCTTTTTGTCTCAATAAATGTATAAAAAAAAATATAGGATAATGCAGAAACTATAATACTTTTAAGGGAGGAAGGGGGAGGGGGAGGGAGAGGGAGAGGGAGAGGGAGAGGGAGAGGGAGAGGGAGAGGGAGAGGGAGAGGGGAGAGAGGAGAGAGGGGAGGAGAGGGAGAGAGAGAGAGAGAGAGAGAGAGAGAGAGAGAGAGAGAGAGAGAGAGAGAGAGAGAGAGAGAGAGAGAGAGAGAGAGAGAGAGAGAGAGAGAGAGAGAACTGCATGTTTTGCATCTTCAAACAAAGATATAGCATTTCAAAGTTATCTGGAAATCCTTATATCTTATAATTTTCATATAGTGACCATGGAAATTGTTAGCATGGCACACAACATATGAAATCACAAACAACTGCTTGAACATGAATCCCATACATTGGTGGTCTTACACCATGGCACAATTTATGTTTGCCTATCAAACTGAGTCACACTAACACTATGTACAAATGCTGCTGATCACATAACTCTGGCTTTCAAGCAACAGTTATCAATTTACTATTTTTTGTTCAAGGTTAATTATTTTTCACAAATATTTGAGAAACAGTTGCATGACTTATAAATAAGTAAAAAGACACAATGCCTTTAACAGGAATGATGAGAGAGAGAGAGATAAATACATACAAGGCATTATATCAAGGATTTGTGCATGTAGAACACAAAGAAAAACATACACAGGCACAAATACTAGTGCACACGCTCATACTCATGTGCCGCATCAGGTTACCTCAACTGAAGGTCACTGAGAGACATGTGCTAAGAGGCAGGTAATTCCAACTGATTTTTAAATTAATTTCTACGTTTTCATAAATTCCTACAGTTGTATAATCATCACAATTATAATATGCTTCCATATTTCCCTTTCTCTCAAGCCTTCTTTCTTTTCTTTTCTTTCTCCACTTCAGAATCTTGCTCTTAGTCCCAGTTCTTTTACTTTATGTAAATCCATTATCTACACTGTGCATCGATACAAGTTCTTTAATGTCCAAATAACACTTTATAAAAATATCAGAAAAAAAAAAAAAAAAAAATGAAAATCATAATGATTTATAATAAAACATTTTGTGAAATTTTTCTCATTAAAAACATGGCTTCAGTAATTCTCTGACTCTGTCTATTTTACATGTGCTTCTATAATTCACAAAATTGAACCGATAGTTTCCTTTATGATCTAATGCAGGGATACCTATCAAAAGAACTGATTGATTAGACACTAATCTCACTGCAAAGTATACAAAGTAAACTCATTATTAGATTTAGCAAAAAAATAATAACAAACTTTGACAAGTGTCTAAATTTCCAATGGCCATTCTCAGTTCTTTGTTTACATAAGCTGTGGTACCATCGGTTGTAATTTTCATCTGCCTTGAAATGAGTTGGTTAAGTTCCGAGGCAGCAGGGTGTCAGATCCCAATTTATATTTTTCCTTTTGTTTATCATTATTATTATATCTTTTTTTTTTTTTTGGGGGGGGGGGGGGGGTGCAAAATATAGTTTACATAAAACTGAAAAAATTATCCAAAAATACTTTGAAAGGGCAAACAGTCAGACCAAACAATTTATGGAAATTCTAAAATTGTGGATCCAAGACACCCTTTGCATAGAGTTGATGTAACTGAAGAATATTGGGTAAAGAATCAACTCTTCTATATATTTAGCAAACATAATGTAGACAAGCAGGAAAATGACTTCACTCAATATAAATACTACCCATGGCATACAAGTTGCGAATATGACGTCATCTGATAGATGTTTCCGTGAGTATGTGAGTACTTGCGTCACTTTCTGGTGATGTCAGGTGGGAATAAAAGGAGAGGTCACTGACCACAGGATCGATTCACCATGGATCCCGTTCCAAGTACTTCTTCAGGCATCATCCACCATCGGCCTCGCCCCTCTACCCCTTCCTTATTCCTCTGCAGAGTATGATCCGGAAATCAATGACTTCCCACTGCAAGGAGGATTCTAGAGGTACAGCTAAGGTAGCTAAGAGGAGAATACCATGTACCGGGTACACTTGGAGCTTCTGGCTCTATTCGGGCAAGAACAGGGGAGAAATGCCCACTTCTCAAAAGGCCATAATAAGCCTAATGGAGGCAGCAGGCCTCCTTCGGAATGGTTAGGATTTATACCTGGATAATTGGTATAGTTCCCCTACCTTGTTTCATGTACTTATGGCAGACAAGAGAAACGCTGTTGGTACCATAAGGGCCAACAGGAAGTACAAGCTGTCTGACTTTCCTAAAAAACAAGCGATTTGAAATTCACAGGAGGGGCACTCCAACTGGTCTCCTATGTATCAAGTGGGAGGCTTAAAGAACCTCCACATGCTATCCACTACACACACAAGCCATGTGGAAGAAACCAGAAAAGTAACGATGTGCAGTGAAGAGGAAAAGACACCAACAATTGTAACAGATTACAAATTGGGATGAAAGGGGTTGACTCTCACAGTCATACCCCACTGTGACAAAAACAATCAAGAGATATCAAAAGGTATTTATCTACCTTGTGGAGAAACTGTCAATGTATTTCTGATACAAAAGTATGTGGATGGACAGATTCGAAAGCAGTATGACTTGTGTATTGCAGTTGCGAAGGAGCTCCTGAGGGAGTATCTTCCTGAGGTAGCTCCATGTAGCATCAGCAGGCCCATACAGAGAAGCCATAAGGAATTGGCTCGGATCATATCCCACCACCATTTCCCGATGAAACTTGAGAAGTATCAATGTGGTCACGTTTGTTACAAGAAAAGAATTAGAAAAAAGGTAAAGAATTCCTGCAAGCAATGCCAAGTTACCTTGTGTTTATGGTTACTTCGAGGATTATCATACAAAGAAGAATTACTGAGGTAACTCAGTGAACGATATTTACATATGTATATGTAATTTACTTTATTTCATACATGTATCTATATGTATATGGCATTTTTTTATGTATGGAACTATGTAATTCCCAATAATCTTCAATTTGAAAGCTCCGATTTACTGCCATGACACCAATGAGGGTGTCATCTGATAGGAAAGGAGGTTTTCTTGTTACTATACTGCAATCATAACTTCCTTTTTTTATAATTCATGTTGTATTTCTTTAACATTGATGGAAGCAAGCTCTTCTTCTACAACAACAACAACAAAAACATCAACTTCTTTCTTTCTATTTTTTTCCCCCCAGGTCTATATTCGTAATCTGATATGTTGTACCAAGATGGTAATACACATTATTTGCTGAGCAGACTCCATATTGCACTTAGGTAGTCTACAACTCTGTGCAATAACAAAACAATAAGGAACTTTGTTGTCAGCTTTTATATTTCGCATTATTCAGTTTTCTTTAACACACCCTATTACCTGGCAGGAATAGGATCCCGAGCATGGAAAGTCTCCCCCTAGAGTCAGTGCTCTTCCAACCATAGCTCCATACATTCCACCCTCATTTACCAGCGGAAATAATGCAAGAGCCTTTCCTGAATGCCTAGAGTCTGTTCTTCCTTCAAGATCTTTGAATACTTGCGTCAATTCACTTAGCTGAATTTCATACAACTGCACATTCGCATCATCCCAACACAGCCAATTTTTTTTAGATACTGAATGACTGAGGTGATATCCAAATCATCTGGAGAAAATATTCCTACAGATGATGGATACACAACTACATACTCATGATTTGTTTTCCTCCCTGAGGTTTGTTTACATTTTTCTTATTATACCCTACATGCAAAAAAATTTCACCTACCTGGTCACACTGGTCTAGGTCGATTTTGCCCTTCAATTTTCGGCAAGTCCGATCTGTGTAATACTCCAGGAAGTACTGCCCTGGGAGCTCCCCAGAACGCAGTACGAACCATCGCATTCGCCATTTCTGGAATTCAGCAAACTTTATAATATTTGCATGTTAAAGGAAACATTTAATTCTTATTAATTTTACACTCCTTTCTTTCACTAGTCCAACATTAAGTTCATAATTTCTGCATCCAATTTACTGTACAGCTGCAATTCTTAAAAACAACTTTTTTCTGCATAAGTTGTATAACATCTCTGCTTGTTGTGTAAACATCTGCTTAAGCATGAGAAAAGATTAGAGAAGACAAGAAGAAAGAAAAATACAGGTACTGTTTTTGGCTGCTAGGGTACATGGCTGTGAAAAAAAATAAAATACTGTGTAATACAATGGAAAGCTGAGAGATTACCGAAATAAAACAAAACACGAAACTCTATTTTCCCTTCATAGGAGCCAATCTAAAAGTAACTTCTTAAAAAAACTATGGAGATTAACCCACAGACGGCTAACGCCACACACAGTCATATACCTACTGCTGTTTCAATTCTTTCTCATGTTTAGACTTAAGTTTTCTTTGCATGTATGAGGATTTTTAGATCACTTCTTGTAGTTCGAGAAGAAAAAATGCTGGCAGGTAATGGGTGAAAATGGTTACATAATGACGGCACAACTCAACATCTTTTTAAAAATCTATAATGCATTACTATCTAGGCTTTACTGCATATGAAGCCTAATAACTTTTTGGTATAATTGTATTATCTTAAAGGAACATGAATGGTTGAATAAAACTTCCACAAGCACATAATTGAGTCATCTTTCAAGTAACATGAATAGACCAATAAAACTTGTACAAGCACATTTCTGAAGCTAAGAAAGAAAATCCAGAAAAGGCATAAGAAAGAGAGAACAAATATCCGACTGTGGCTGGTTGATAATTTAAAATGTTATTGAAAATCATATGACATTCATTCTGAAACGGTGAATGCTCCATGTTGCTTTTCACTTTCCACACTACATTTTTCTGAGGATAATTGAAGGAGAGGAATGCAACTGAAATTTGTTGCATAATCCTTCAAGGAAATACACACACTAACATATAGCACAGATGAATGCAAATCACAGTGGACTGTGAATATCACTCTCCATATCAAAATATTATTGGTATATTTATAAAGAGAGAGAGAGAGAGAGAGAGAGAAAAGAAGTGAAAATTTTATTCTACATATACAACCCTTGGAAACACTCCTCATTTATCCTATTAATGAAGTGCTGATGAAGACTGAAAAGGTCAAGCATTAGTTAAAGGGTAGAGAGAAAATTACCAATTATGCCCATGGCTTGAAATGGTAGCCAAATACTCTGTATTAAGTAATGCAGTTCATTTGATACGGAAAATGGCCTATAAATATCTAATTACTGCTACAACCACCTTTTCTTATAGAACTACACACTAAGGGATCATAACACATATATGCACCCAAGAATAACAAACCAATTATCTCACTATATCACACAGAATAATAATGCTACTATAATTTACAATGACAAGTTATACAAGATATCTATTCTATCAAAATGTGCACAAAATTAATGGTAAAACACCTATAGAATAACAGCTTAGAAACCGTCCAGAATAGGAATGCACCAGGTGTTGCTGTGACCGTCATGCTTGGTGTGATGGCAAAAGCCTACACAGCTCAACCAGGAATATTCTGGCACGATGAAAGACCAGATTGGTTCTTCACCGTACAGTAAATTGCCTGGGTGATCTCAAACCTGTCTCTTATTAGGATATATATGATAGAAGTTATTTAGTCCTAGCCTGAGTCTGGTCTAAGTCATAGTGAGGATTCTTCTTTACTCTTTGGTTGCAAGTACATATACTGTCCACTGTACGTTATTAGTAAAATTTGTTGCACACGGATGGCTCCATAGGTGCTTAGCCAATGCGGAGTAAATAAGTACGCCCCCTGTGACAACCTATTCCTTATATTTTTTGGATTGTTTTTCTAAAGATATTTATATCTATCATCGTTGACATATGATTATCATATAACTAACAATACTATTCAGAATAAAAATTAAAAGGACAAGGGTAAACAGGTGAGATAGGTAAGACTTGTACATGACTCCTTGGCAACTGAGCACTTGTTAACTCATCTATGTATAAAAATATTTAGAAAATCCACTGCAGATATGATAAGAACGTCATGCCATCAAAGCACAATGAATTACTTCTCCCTGCTGCCATTATCCTTGTACGGATCAGTTTACATAACTGTGTATCATTTCTGTTTCGATACAGGACAATACTGCTCAATAAAAAATATATTTGTATTGTATTTACACGGACAATTACCTGCATTTCCCCAACAGACCTCGCTAGACATCCCTACATACCCTAGTTTCAGGGATGGCCAAGAAAATATGCAACGATATACTCAAACTTAGAAGTGATAATGTGGCACAATGCCCTGTAAGGTGTGGGTTACCCTCTTTACTTAACCACTCTGACCTAGTACGAACTTTGTTGGAAATTTCAATGCAGTGGCAGTGGGGATGTTCTTTTGCAGCTACTCTCAATATCTGTTGTCCTCAAATCTTTGGCAGTGTAAATGACAAAGTTATTTGAAAATACTTAAGATATCCCAGAGAATTTGTATACTTGAAATGTCTCATGAAACAAAAAAAAAAAATCCTACATTAATAGGCACAAAAACAAAAACAAAAACAAAACAAAAGTTTACATTTTTCCCATTTTCAGGTCATATTCATGAACTTTTATCTTCTTATCACTGCTATAATAACATACAATCAAGGCTTTTGCGATAACTTTCATTTAGGCCCGGGAAACGAACACATCTGGGGAACATCTCTCCGTGTCTCTGTAATCGAGGGCGAGACTACTGTGCGAACTCAAGTGGGCTTCATTCTTATCATCATGCAGGCCTACAAAGTGTGAAAAATCCCCCTATTACATAATTCTCTGAAACACCGCACCTTTCCCGCGTACGCAATGTAAACTTCCAACTCTAGCTCGAGTAAACGCACACAGCCTACGGACTTCCTCAAACACTTCAAAGCTCAGGATTCCGAGTTTTACCGAGAGCCTCGCACCGGGAAAAATAACGATCAAGAGTATGTTAAGAGACCCGAGTCACAATGGGTGATCAGCTATTCTACGCATGCTTAACGAGCACGACCTGTCATTCCTACGAGTACGGGCTTGGTGAAAATCGGGAAAAGTGTGCGAAAGGTTGGCTATGTAAAGGGGAAGGCGACAGGCGGCAGAGAGGGACTGGTAAGTGCGTAAACAAGAGGAGGATAGGCAAAGGGAGAGAGGAGAGAAGGAGAGAGAAGAGGAAGGGAGGGGGAGAAAGAGAGGGAGAGAAAGAGAGGGAAAGAAGAGAGGGAGAGAGAGAGAGAGAGAGAGAGAGGAGAGAGAGAGAGGAGAGAGAGAGAGAGAGAGAGAGAAGAGAGAGGGAGAGAAAGAGAGGGAGAGAGAGAGAGAGAGAGAGAGAGAGAGAGAGAGAGAGAGAGAGAGAGAGAGAGAGAGAGAGAGAGAGAGAGAGAGAGAGAGAGAGAGAGAGAGAGAGAGAGAGAGAGAGAGAGAAGAAAAGAAAGAAAAACAAGAAACGTTAGGCCAAAAAAACAAAACCCACAAGCAGCCTGACACGACCCCCTCCCCTCTCCTCCTCCCCCCCTCCCCCCCAGCCCTTGTCCCTCCCCCGCCCTCCCCGATCCCCCTGACAGACAGACAGGCATCAAAGGCCGAATAAACTCTACTCACCGCCCGCCAGAGCCTCTTGGGCGGCGGGGACTTCTTGAGCATTCCCTCATGAACTATCTCCATACTGCCATGAACCATCTCCGCGAGAGGGCCGCGTGCACCACCATACTTGTCCCGGCGCTGGTCCTGGCCTCTCCCTCCCCAAATTAAAAGCGGGCCTTTCGAAAAGAGAGAGAGAAAAGAGAGCTCGGTCTGCACGCACGACACTCGCTCACGTCGCCCA